GCAATACTACTATGAGCCAAGAATGTGTCCCGCGTGTGACGTCACTTCACATGAGCCCCCCCCCCCACTTGACGTCACTCCACATGAGGCCCCTCCGCGTGACGTCACTCTATGAGGCCCCCCCCCAGCGTGACGTCTCTCCACATGAGCCCCCCCCTCATTAATATTCATGAGTGAGGGGATTTTTATACTAACGCAGAGGAAGGTGGAGCTGAATTAAATAATTTATCAAGCAAAGTCGCTCCAAACGTGACGTTTCTTTACAGAAAGTGACGGTCAAAAATAAATCTACGCAGCACAGTGTTACATACGTGCGTGACGTCACTGCAAAAGAGCCCCCCCCCCCCCTTCATTAATATTCATGCCCGCGTGCAAATTTACACTAACGCACAAGAAGGCCGCGCACTCCACATGCCGCACCCCTCCCCAATAACCATTAGCGGGTGACGTCACTCCACATGGGGCAACCCCCACCCTCATTAATAATAATAATGAGCTGAACAATTTTTCTATTGAATATTTCAAGATTTACTGCAATATACACCCGTCCTTGGACGGGCAAACAAGCTAGTCATATATAATAGCCGAGACAGAAGGACCATTCCCCGAAACGTAGCTGGAATGTTTGCTCCAGTAGTGTAATTGACTAATTAGTTGTTTGCGGTTGTTAATTGTGCTTGTGCACCACTGCCAACGCAGCAGTAGCATCCTCTTGACACTTATCAGCTGTGTAGAGTGGCGCGGTCGTCACCCATCCAAGCCCTAACCAGGCGCCAACACGCTTAGCTTCCAAGATTCGGCGGGATCGGGTGCATTGCAGGTGATTTGTCCACAGGCAATGCCAAGCCTCTAACATTGATGTCTGTCGCATCATACAGTGCTGTGCAATGCGTTCACTGGAGGTCTCCCTTTCCCAGGGATCAACACTGGTCGCAACGTGGTTCTCAAAGGCAACACACGAGGGAGGTTCTGCATGAGTGCACAAGACCTCGTGGTTCAAATGACCTGCGTGGCGCGACCTCGTGGTTCATTATCATATCGGCCTCTTCCTTCAGCTATGGTCACTCCGCTGCTGGATGAAGGCCCCCTCTCTATCCCCCGCCTCAATGCAGAGGTTCGATTAAGGGGTTCGATTAAGGAAATCTCCAAGACGGAGCGAGGGGAGGGTTCGGATGCAGAATATGGCAAACGACCTCTAGGTTCGCAACAGGGTTAAATATAGAGATTCACAAACAGTCCCGGGGGGAGGGTTCGATGCAGAGGTAACGCGAAAGTTAATCCTCGACCACACATAATGAAGAGTCTACTGTCAATGATCATTTTACAAAACAAATACTCCAGGCCTTGCGTCAATCCACTGCTGGATGAAGGGCCCTGCCACGCGGCGTCAGTTACGAGCCCGCGATCGTGACTTGTACAACTCACGGATATGCGTCTCGTGTTTGTTCCGATGTCCGACGCTTCGTCTACCATGACGCCGAACGGCACGCGATACAAACACGAATAACTAACAAGCCGAATCGGGCGAGCGCGGGGGAAATCGTAGCGGTAGCGGTGGCTATCACTCGTGTAGCGAGCTGTGAAATAAACCGAACCGATAATCCCGCAAGCTTACCGTTCACGAGCAGGAGGCGGGCGGCTCTGAACACGACAAACCCTTTGCGTCGTCAAGTTCGCGCGGCCGTCTTCGTCTTTCTTGACCGTGGATCGGATTCGGCTGCTCAGGCGCGTCGCAACACGTTGTACGCTACGGGCGCCGCCATTGCTGGAGCACGTGACACTGCTGTGGGTGTGAGGGGGGGGGGGTTGGGGGGGGGAGCGGTGGCGCAGTGGTTAGCGCGCTGCGCTACGAACCTGCCCCCCCCCCTACCCGAGTTCGATTCCAGCTCACGCGGTCACCAATACCCGGTGACGATTATCTGAACCGGTCCTAGGCCTCCCCCCCCTAGATCGACTCAGCCTCAAATGAGTATCTGGTGTAGTGGTGTGTAAACATCGCCACTGGGGGAGACAAAGGCGGCCGGGTGTGGTGCTGGTCACCCCACCCACCTCCTCGTGTGCCGTGCCGGCCTTCATAGGTGCTCGCTCACAGCACTTGGTGATTTCTAACAGCACTTGGTGATTTCGAAAAGTTTACTGGTTTGGCCATGTTTTGTTTGTTGTAGTACAGAGTTAGACTGATGGCCTTAATCTAAGTTGTCTTGTGGTTGTTATTGTTGTTTGACTTGCATCCCACTGGGATTTTTGCACACAGCGTTGGTGTACGGTGATTTTTCTGCAATATTTTGCTCTTGGATTTTCTGTTTGCACTCAGTCACATATTCACTTTAAGATGCTTTTTGTTCATGTTTTTTGCTTGTTGCGGTTTCACCCGATTCAAGAGCCGAATGGCTCACAGGGCTATACAGTACCTAATACATGAACTTGAACTTACCCCAATAGTCTGTTAAGGCTATACGGGAAATCTATTCATATATAACCGATTCCTATGGTTTTGCGGTCTTGTTCAGTACTGAATCTGGCGGTAAGAATCGATTATGTCGGTTAATATGATTTGGCTGTGGTTGTTTCGAAAAGGCGGTAATAATCGATAATTATACGAAGTGATCGATTCGTTAGATGGCGTATGAATATCTACCATTCTGTACCAACGGCGGGAAGGGGAATCGAATCGTTAAATAATTCACCCCGCCGTCAATTCAGCGTGAACGTATGCCCACCGTAAATCGAACAATCAAAGAATGGAATAATTAAATCGATAAACACGGCGATATCGATTCCAAAGGCATTGCATCTCATTTCTCGTGGTATTTTGGTAATTTTAAAAATGGTGAAGCGATAATAATCGATAATAAAAATAATCATCGGCTTGTAAAGTATTCGCCGCTCACTCTCGCAGTGAGGTTAGAACGACTCAGAGATGCGAGGAGGCAGCAGCAGCAGCAACCACGCCGTGAACCGGCACCAACAATTGCCCACGCTCTGCGGTCCTATACATACCGAGCTCATGAAGGTGTCAGCGGCCACAATGACCACGATAATTGGATTTTTACCCTTTTATTTGGCAACAAAACTGACACATTTTTTACAAGGAGTTATGTTTGCATAGACCACAATACCTGCAGTCATAATGCAAACAAAAACATAACTCTGATAATGTATGCACTGTCCTTGAAGTTGATTGGTCCACACCCGAGACAGCTTTCCTTAGAGCCTAGTCTCACATGGTGTTGGACCAGATGACGTCATCTAGAGTTATGTTTTTTGTTTGCATTATGACTGCAGGTATTGTGGTCTATGCAAACATGACTCCTTGTAAAAAATGTGTCAGTTTTGTTGCCAAATAAAAGGGTAAAAATCCAATTATCATATTTTTTACTGGCAAATGAAGTTCCAATGGTATAAATGACCACGATGTTAACTACTTCGCCTGGTATATAGGAAGTCGTGGGTTCGATCCCAACCCAAATGCCTGCTGCTATATATTTGGAGTTGCGCATTTTCTCCGTGGTAGCGTGGATTTTTCTCTGGGTCCTCTCTGGGTTTCCCCCTCCACATTTAGAGTCAACATGCGTTTAAAGAGTATTTGGCTGCTATTCATTTCCACGTGATAAGCCACTTTGTTGATCTTTCATTTGTGGCCAGGTCGTTTCTGAAAAAGAGCGACATAGCTAAGTGGACCTTACCGGGTAAAATACTTTTTTTAAATCTATACCTGAGTATAGTATAGCCTGGTGGCATCACGTGGCAACCACTAGGCCCCGAGCAGGTTTTGCACTTGATGATCAATAGTTTATCGGCAGAGATCAATGTCTCAGGTACTATACTCTTATTTCCCTCGCTCGTTTCCTAATCCCTCCAGCAGCGCTCCACTCCCCCTACCCCACACCTTCTCGATCTCTCCTCCCTGGCTCCTCCCCCGTCTCTTACCGATATGGCCTCTTGTAACAGCAGCTCTTTTGCCCACTTCAGCATGTTTCTTGCTGTGGTTGCCCCACCTGATGACGGACGCTTGTGTTGCGCCCGAAACGTCGTGATTTATTATTTTATTCCTATTATTTATTTTTTACCTACGTGACTTTACCGAAAAAACATAAGAGTATGAATCCTTGCAGTCACGAAAGCTTCAAATCTAGAAGTCTCAGGTACTGTTTTCCTCCTGCATGGGATGGAGGATGAGCGGGTGGGTGTGGTTATGTGAAAGTGGGCAGTGCTGACTCAGGGAGGGAGTGGCTTGCCTGATTACCATGCACCCCGATTGAGGCTCCCAGAAAGTCAGTAGCTTTGTACCCCAGAGATATTGAAAAACATTTCGATTTAAAGCTTTCGTGACTGCAAGGATTCATCTTCTTGGTTCTTTCGGTAAAGTCACGTAGAAGGGAAATAATAAAAGTAAAACATAATAAAATACAATTCTCACGACGTTTCGGCTACAACGCAAGCAGCCGTCCTCAGGTGAAGAACAGGTTTGTGGGAAAGACAGCGTCTGAATGATTCAGACACTGTTGTGGCCGAAACGTCGTGAGAATTATTTTGTTTTATTATTTCCCTTCTACGTGACTTTACCAAAAGAACCAAGAAGATTGAAAAACATCTCCCCGCAGCGTGCCCCGCTGGGTGTCGCTTACAACGTAGCACCGATGCAATGCATCCTGGGACATTTGCTCAACCGTTTTGTTAAACTTTTGCTTCTTGTTTAGAGCTTTGCACGTGAAGGACGTTTTTTTTTTCTTACAAAGTCTGCTCCGTTTGAAAGGCAATGAGAGATGTGCTGTGCTTTGTGAATTAGCGGCCTCTTAAAAACCCACCGTAAACATGTTCTAAACATAAAATAACAAATCTCTCTATCTACACACATCGGGCGATGTTACATCGCAGGACCACGAGACGGCAACAGCTTGGCGAGGCCTTCATCCAGCAGTGGATCGATCACGGCTGACGAGGATGGAAATGTACCTGCACTCTCGCGTTACGCGCTCCAATGGAAACCGAGCAGTGTCTACAACTTCCACGTTTATTTTCTCGCGCATCCGTAAACATACAAACACAACTTGGGCCATAACGATTAATAAAAATACATTCATCTAAAAAAAATCGCTTTTTTTGAATAGGGGACCCCAGAATGTCACCTTTCCCCTGCACGTCACAAGGTGAACAACATCACCTTTCCAGTGGCTCCCGCAAGGCGTTACGGGAAGACGTGTGGAACAGTTTGGCACCAGCGATTATTGCGTGGTTGTGTAGCTGCAGTTCTCTGCGGTGAGTACAATGTCTTCGATAACAACAGCGCTATGCCCCTCTAAATAAACGTGACACAAACTGCTTGCGCGTTCCGAGATTCAGCGGGTGAACAGGAACTGGCAGACGTCTCTGAACGGTAAAAGGGTTAATTGAGCCGTGAAGAGGTGGAGAGACTGGCCGCTGCACCCACCACGGTGAAACGGAGCCTGGAGGCGTTGGGAGGTCACCCTAACCTTGCAACGTGGTGGTGGGGTGATGGTGGGGGGGGGGGGGGGGAATGCATTCAATAAAAAAATGCAACTCAAAAAACCACAACTTCTTACCGATGGATTAGCAATGACGAAAAGGATACGAATCGTAAATGTATCGATTCTCACATGCACGACCCCATTCGTGTATCGCGAGCACACAAGGGTCGATTGTCACGGATTAAATCGGTGCTTCGTAGCTACAGCGAGCTCTTTGTCTCTTGCGTCTAAGTGGCCAATATCAAACCATGGAACGAACACCCGTGATTTCATGTGCCATCCTTTTGTCGATCCACTGCTGGATGATGAGTGTAGTTCGTGGTGGTTAATGAAATACATTTCCCCATACTGTTCGGTGATGTTTGAATGAGGGGGGAGGAGAACATAGACATTGAAGAATAGTAAAGCACAACAATTAATTTTTGCTGTGCTTGCCCACACGTAGCCCTGCAGCTACCCCTGATGACAAAACTGTTTGCACGAAGTCCTCATCACCCATCCAAGCTCTAGCCGGGCTCAACTCCTGCTTGGCTTCCGAGATGTGACGATGAGAGCGGCCACATTCCAGGCGATGTGCTCATGGATGATGGTGCTTCAGGGGTGCTGGGCAGTATATAACGTCAACGCGGGAGCGCGCGTCCCTTCGAAACGTCCTCTGGGGTCAACTGCTGGTCTTCACTTTGCTCTTTCCGCCCCGCTTTTGAAAAGCAATCGTTTTTCTGTGAACACAAGAACAGTAATTTGTTTGAATCTGTATATACACAAACCAAATTAAGCTTCGACAGCATTGCCAGTTGAATTTCTATGAATCTGCGTCAGGCAGAATGGCAATAACTTTTGTAGTAATTCAGGATTGTTGAACACTTTTCACCGCGTGACATTCACGCACGTGGAGCGAAAACAACGGCAACCTGTTTATGCCCATCCAAGCACTATCCAGGTTCAACCTGGCTTAGCTTCCACGATCTCGCAGGCGTGGGAGTTTAATAAATCTCTGCGTGACCCACCAACCCTTTTCCCCCTAAGCGCTGGATCACAGGTGTGCGCGCACCACTCTCCCGAGCACAGAGGAGACCGGGACGGTGCATTGCATGCAGAGGCGTTGGGGGCATTTGGGAGTATCGCCGATCACAGTAAGATCCGCAAACCCTCGCCTCCAAAGCACTTTGGATCGATCGCACGGTGGCACGTGCGATCGATGTTGTGACGGAGATGGCCGCACGACCCCTCTCCCGCACGGTCGGCGCGGCGCGGGGACGGCGCTAGTCCAACGACGAGCCCTCGGTCCGGCCGTGCACGTGTGCGCACGAGCGCGTACATGTGTGGGCACGAGCGTGTGCACGCGTGTGGGCACGAGCGCGTGTGTCACGTGCACGCGTGACGCCTCTCTCCTCACTTGTGCCTCGCAGCGTTGGGCAAGAAGAGCTCGGGCATCGTGCGGATGGTTTCCCTCTTGGGGGGGTTCTTCACGAGGCTCCTCTTAGTCTTCCTGCAAGCGCACATCACGCAAACAAGCAATCCACAGTCGTGCCATCCCTCCAACAAAACAACTAAGCTTCCCCCCCACCCCCGGGATAGCCTTAACAGACTGTTGGGGCAAATGCTGATGGCGAGTTGCACCTGCACACCATACCAGGTACTCATAATGAGGCTGCTTCAGCTTAGAGGCAGCCCAGAACCGATTTAGATAAACGTTGCTGGTGTTGGCCGTGAGCGGGAATCGAACTCAGGTCACCAGGTGCGTAGCAGAGCCCTAACCATTACACTTCTGCTCCCCATGCCGCCACCCCTCCACCACCACCTCCCCCTCCCCCCCATCACCACCCCCCCCCCTCCCCCCTATATAAAACAGGGCAAGGGACCTAGAGCTACACGAGACCTACTTCAGAATGGCCCCAAAACCGACTTTCATCGGTCAATGCAAGAATAGCAGTCACACTAATCGGGTACTAGAGGGATATGACCCTTCTTCAAAGCGTATCAGGAAAGGCAGAGGTTGATTATCGGACTTGTGCTTGAGGATTATACTTTACACAGTGGTCTGAAACTGAAAAATGTTAAGTTATATATTCGTTCATAATTGATCTTTAAATGAGGCCACGTAATTATCTGACCAAATCTGTGTCCTAAGACCCTAAGTTGACAAAATTAAACCTTTTAATCAACAGCCAATTGTGACGTCTCATACACGTGGGCATCCTCAGCCTACAGAGTTCCTCTTGACTGTCCCCCCTCAGTGTGATCCCAAGCCTGCGTCTCTCCCTGCTTCTCTAGCTTCACGAAATTGCCACGCGCGGTGGAGTGCCGCGCTTTGCCACGACGCGTGTTGTGTAAAAAAAAAAAAAAAAAAAAAAAAAAAAAAATTGCAGTCAGGGTGAGGGTTACGCACGTGGGCATTCGCTCGAGTCCCATCATGTAGTCCGGAATGGGGCACCCGGCCTTTTTGATGACCGCCGCCGTACTGCAGGGGAGAGATACAAGGGGGAGACGTGGGTGTGCGGGAGACACATGAGGTGGGTGCAGGGGGGAGACGCAGTGGGGGAGATGTGGGGGTGGGGGGGGGTTCGCAGGGGGGAGACGCAGGGGGATCAACAAAGAGCAAGCACTGACGCAATGTCCATTTCTCACAAAGGCTTCCGTGACCAACATTATTGATTGGCGATTAATTTTTGGTTAAGTGGCGTGAGTAAAATATGTCGTACACCCTCCTCCACCTGACACAGCCAATTATCACATGATCAACAAACGTGCACGTTTATTATAGCAGCAGCACCACTGCTGTGGTTGGACAGCAAACTCTGGCAACTGCCCGATGATGCTAGTTGTAGCGGCCAGCAAAATGTAAATGTTGTGTGGATCGGTCTCCAACACCACCACCGGTTATTCCACCACCACTGAATATATTTCATGGACCAAAGCGTCAGAAAATTGTTATTTAAAAATCGGGTCAGCTCGGCCGTGTTATAATCAGAAATGGCGTAGCTATTTACGTGTGCAGGCGGTGAAACTGCACTGGGGCACACGGACTGCAGGGGGCCAGAGGTCGCAAACGGGTTTTGATTCCTTACCCGTACTCGGCCGCACCAGGGTCGCAAACGGGAAACCCGTACCCGGCCGGGTACCCGTACCCAATACCCGGCCAGGTACGGGTAGCCGGGTATCGGGTAGGGTACGGGTATCGGGTACCCGATTGCGACCTCTGGGATGAAGCCATGTTGTAGGCGCGGGTGGGTTGATTCTAGGAACTTGAATTGTGAGAAGAGACAAGACGTTGGGAAATGAGTGACAAACGGTTACTCACCAGTGACTCACGGCCTTTTCACTCATTGGTTGGGGTGAGTCACGTGCGGATACCCGTACCCGGCCGCACCAGGGTCGCAAACGGGTACCCGGCCGGGTACGGGTAGCCGGGTATCAGGTAGGGTACGGGTATCGGGTACCTGGTTGCGACCTCTGGCGGGGGCCCATGGACTGGAGGGTCCCGGGCACCAGGCTCCGAATAGAAATTGTGCATTTCTTGCACCAGGGGCCCATTCCCAACCACACGACACCACTAATCATCAGCAGGTAGCTACCACATGAAGAAACGTCATCGGTTAGTTATCGAACGAAACAACCGGTCCCTGTCGTAGGAATGTGGAATTTCCACCACGGGGAACTCCCCCCCACCCACCCCGCCTCGCAATTCGCGCAAAAATCAGCAGCGGAGAATTCAACGCCACGCGCGACGCCGGAGCGAGGCGGCCACCAACCTCCTGATCAGCGGGCGGTCGTCTTCGGTGAAGAAGGTGATGGCTTTGCCTCGCTTCCCCGCACGCCCGGTGCGCCCTGGGTGAAGCACGTGACACGCGCATTCAGCACACAACACGCGCAATCGGGCCGTTCACTGGGGGGGGGGGGGGGGCGGCGGTCGCCCAAGTGGAATGAAAACTACCTTTGGAATCGATATTCAAATCCAGTTCTTCGGATCTAGCAGCGATCGTTCAGACTGTACGACCGCGTCAAGGGGGAGCTCATCAAGCCTCGGCAGTGTTTACAACGATAATTGTTTTTTACCCTTCTATCTGGCAACAAAACTGACACCTTTTTACAAGGAGTCATGTTTGCATAGACCACAATACCTGCAGCCATAATGCAAACAAAAAACATAACTCTGATAATGTATGCACTGTCCTTGAAGTTTATTGGTCCACACCCGAGACAGCTTTCCTTAGAGCCTAGTCTCACATGGGTTGGACCAGATGACGCCAAAAGGCGCACAACTCAAAGACAATGCACCATCAGAGTATGAGAGCTCGGGGTAAGCATTTACACCATTGGAACCTCATCTGCCAGTAAAAAATATGATAATTGGTTTTTTACCCTTCTATCTGGCAACAAAACTGACACCTTTTTACAACATCGCCGTACTGCAACTTCTCAGAACTCCCCACGCTGGGCCGCCCCTACAAGGCAACCTCTGCCACCATCTCCGGTGAGCACCCTGCACGAACTTATGCGATGTATTGAAATTTATTACGTAACATCTTTTTCGGTATCTTTTTTGTTGGTATTTATTTCATGTATTATAATAATTAAGTCAATAGTAAAATCCGTTTCGGTTTACGTCGCATCGTCTAACGTTGCGTTGTACAGGGATGTATCCTCAAGGAATATTTAGGACGTATTATAGTGCTATTAAAAATAATCTATGCCTCGAGTTTCCTGACTGGCTGCTGGCTGGGCTCCTCTCCCCCACCAAAAGCGGTAACTCCGTTGTTAGTGGTTCCTGTCGGCCATTGCCACCGAATATAGGTGGTTATCTGGCGGCACAGGATTTTACGTGGAACATTTAGTTGGACTGAAGTGGCGGAAGAAGAAGTTTGGAAGACATAATAACATAACACTGTCGGTTAATTTAAATTTGCTCTTGATTTTTTATTTGTGCTCCTCTTAACGCAATTCTTTCACCGGAATATTATTTAAATCCTGGAGGGTATAAAAATACCCTCACAATATGTATCATGGTGGCATTTTATTATGACGTAAACGAGCAGATTACCGATTTCTCCAAAGTGCAGGAAGATCGTGAGAAGAGCATCGTGACCATGGACGGCCGTCTCTTATTTTCTACTGCAGATCAACAACAACTTCTCGACTCGATCAACTCAAAAACTTACAGTCCTTCGGCCACCATTGGATGAAAAGCTTACCACGCTGTGCCAGTCGTGGAGGATGTCTGACCATACCTCACCACGCCGGCCGAGGACCGACTGAGACATCGCTCGCCACTCACGTTAGCCGTTGCCGGGATTTGAACTCAGGTTTGGCGGGTTTGTGACGATGGCTGCAATCGCGAACAATAATACGAACATATTTTGTTCGTCATTGTTCACAATGGGATTATCGACAAGGCTAGAAATACCCGAGACAAACAGCCCGGGACGTGCACCCACCTATGCGGTGGATGTACTCGATGGCGCTGGTCGGGAAGTCGTAGTTGATCACGAGGTTGATGCCCTTGAAGTCCATGCCCCGGGCCATCAGCTCCGTGCAGATCAGCACCCAGATCTTCCCGGCACGGAAGCTCCGCACGATGTTGTCGCGCTGCGTGTAAAACGTTGACGTCATTCGCGGAATAAGTACTAGTCGCACCTCCGATTAGCAAGGTTTGGCTATTCATGGTGCGAAAGGAGTTCAACATACAAAGATGCATATCATAGAAGACTTTTTACTGGTAGGAACCTCCTGGTTACACCAGCCCACAGGGGATTATTGTGTCCGTCGTGCAGGGAGGGGCTGGGTAGGGAGGGTGGGGCTGGGTGAGGAAGGTGGGGAGGGGCTGGGTGGGGAGGATGGGGTTGGGTGGGGAGGGTGGGGAGGGGCTGGGTGGGGAGGGTCGGGCTGGGTGGGGCTGGGTGGGGGGTGGGAGGGGTGGGGCTGGGTGGGGAGGGGCTGGTCACACCGTGGTGCCCTTATAAAACTCAACGTTTAACCTACTCACGCCGGCTTGTATCCCGCCCTCACAGGCGGGCATATTTGCGGAATACACCACGCCGCCGTTGACCCTGGCCATTGACCGAGCAACCCAACGTTCCTACCAGCTCCCTCCGCAGGAATGTGTAAATACCCCGTGACGGGCCGCGCATTAACACACTTGCGCTAAAATTAGAAGCGCGGTGCCCGATCAGTGCAGCTAAGATGCTCGCTGGCCGTAACGGATAAATGTCGTTTTGTCGGACCACTCTTGTGGCGCGGGAGGCCTCATGCTGCCGTGGGCTTTATCTAGCCCGCGGAATGTATGAAACTAAGTTTCAGGCCGTATCCGGCCCACAGGTCGGTCTTAGATCCCCACTCCCAGCCTGGTGAAATGACCAATCCGTTAAGCACTTAACCTTCACTCGAGACCCAACCCCTAACCTCGGTCATCAACTCGTCACTAAAGCTAACCAATTACTATCGTCGCTTGTTTGATGGCTGCAACCCCACACCCCTTACACCAGCCCCCTCCCACCCTCGATGTCCCGGGACTCGACGCTGCTGCTGCCCCCCACTGGCCATGACCTATCCACCACCCCTCCCCCCCCACCGCACCACGTCTACCCCAATGTAGTTCTTGGTATTGGTAAAGTGTCTTGCGATTTCGATGGCATTTAGCCGCTATTTAAACTACTTTGACGGGGCTTTTTGTTAGAGGTCTCTCCTGGTGGTAAAAGGGCGGCGAGCCGTCTCAAGGCCCCACTGCCGTCCCCCAGCGGAGCGCGCATACCGAAACTAAAACTATTTTTATTTTACCAGGTAAGGCCCACTGAGCTATACAGCTCTTTTACAGAAGCGACGTGGCCACAAATTATAGCGCGACAAAGTGGCTTTTATCACGTTAAAATGTATAGCAGCCAAATACTCGAAACTCCAGGGTTCGGATCGAACCCACGACCTCCAGGGGAGGAAATTATCAGAATTAGAATCTTGATTTATCCTGGAGAAATCCAATGAGCTATGAAGCTCTTTTCCACAGCTGTCCAGTAGGGGTGGGTCAGAAAGTTACAACACAGAGTTATATTCTTAGGTTTTTTTTCGGTAAAGTCACGTAGGTAAAAAATTTCAATTAATAAAAGTAAAATAAAACTAAATAAAAAATCACGACGTTTCGGAAGCAACACAAGCCTCCGTCTTCAGGTGGAACCGTCACAGCCACGACAGCTGTATCTCTCATTTACTTGATACAGCTTTCGTGGCTGTGACGGTTCTACCTCAAGACGGAGGCTTGTGTTGCTTCTGAAACGTCGTGATTTTTTATTTAGTTTTATTTTACTTTTATTAATTGAAATTTTTTACCTACGCGACTTTACCGAAAAAACCTAAGAATATGAATCCTTGCAGTCACGAAAGCTTCAAATCTAGAACACAGAGTTAACACCTCCCCACTTGCGGCTGCCCGTACCTGCAGCTTGGTGCGGTCTGCGTGGATAACGTCCACGTTGATGCCTTCGTAGACAAGCTCGTTGAAGAGCTCCCTGGCTCGCTGGATCGACTGCACGAACACCAGCACGGGTGGCGTGAGGCCCTGCCGACCCCGACCGCAAACAGCACATTGAGAGCCAGAGTCAAAAACCCAACGTTTCGGCTGCCGGGCACGGAGCGTAGAAACGCTGCTGTCGCGCTGCAGCAAAGTCGCAGCGTGTGGGGTTGGGGCCGCCCTCACCTTCTTGACGATGTTACGGATGGCGAGCAGCTTCCCCGACTCGGCTCCTACGAAGAGCAGCTCCTGCTCCACCGTCTCCACGGGGGTGTTGCTGCCGACCACAGCGAGTCACACACACCGCGCTTGCACGTTGGCACTGTCGCCCCATTACTACGGCGCGGGGCTGCGTACCGGCGAAGGCGCTGCGCATTTGACGTACGGGATGCGCGGTCTGCGGTGGTTTCACGGCAGCGGCCAACGTTGCCCTTGGGGTTTTAACCTGATTTGATGATTTTTTTCCAAGTAAAATTGGGATGGCGACACCGACACACTGCAGGCAACGTGACAATTCAGCCGGCGTACAAATAAGAGCGCGCCCTCGAGACAGCATGGGCGGACATATCGTGTCGAGCACATATCACAGATGTATGTATCTATGTTGAACGTTTTTCGCACCGTACGTAGCCAGCCGTGCTAACCAACAATTGAAAGAAATTGCGAAGCAGTCAAACTCCTTAACCGCCTTCTGTTCCTCTATTAAAGCTCACCTCTTCCTCTTCCCTCCAATTCTTTGCCATCCCTCCCCTACCCTCCTGTAGCCCCTACACACCCTCTATCGCCGTCACCCATTCCTCAGCCCATGCACTCCGCTGCCCTCTAAACCATTCTTCAGAACAACACGGGGACCGTATCAACATCGCCGGAAGCAGTTGCATTTGAAATCACAGAACTGTGCCACCCGCCATTCCTGTTATCGCTGCTGCCCCTTCCCCCGCGACAGCCAATCGTACGATCTGTTGACGCGTCGACCCCCCCCCCCCCCACCTACCGCCCCCCCACCTACCGAGTCCCCACGCCGACGGACACCAGGTTGTCGAGGTTGAGGCGGCTCCACTGCTCGACGTCCTGGGCGAACGTGGCGCTGAACATGGCGTGGCGCGCGGCGGGCGACGTGCACGCCTGGAAGATGGCGGCGAGCTGCTCGCGGAAGCCGCTGGATCCGCTGGATCCGGCCTCGAACAGCTTGTCCGACTCGTCCACGATGAGCCACTCCACGCTGCTCGTGCGAGAGATGCGATGGCAGAAGCAGCGGCAGCAGCAGCAGATGCAGCAGTAGAAGCAACGGCAGAAGCAGCGGCAGAATCAGCGGCAGAAGCAGAGGTAGCAGCAGAAGTAGTGGCAGCAGCAACAACGCGTGGGAGTTTCATTTTGCGGTGGTTTCTAATCGACTTTGATATTTTTTTTGGAGGGGGGGGGGTTCCGTTTCTATGCCCGTGGACAGCAGCGCGTTGGAATCGCAATGAATGCAGCGGTGGCCGGTTCGGTTTGGTCTCCCGGCGCTGGCAACCTAGCTCCGGTCAAATACCCACCGCCCCCCGTCCACCCAACAGAACACATGAGTGCACCGCAGTTAGGTGATGAGCAGGTCGAGGTCGAGTGTGGTGCGGTAGAGTGTGGGTACTCCCACCACTTTCTTGACATCTGGCCAGCGTGGAAGAGTAGGCCAAGTACCCTCTACATTACAGCGGTCCACAACCTTTTTGGCACCAGGGACCGGTTTCGTGGAAGACAATTTTTTCACGGACCTAGGGGAGGGGGGGTCATCATTGGGTCTTTCCCCCTTTTTAAAGAAGCTCTCCAGCGACGTTTGTTTTTTTACTCATTTTGGCTACTAGGGGTTAGCAGCTTGTGGGTTCACCAAAACTGTGACTGAGACAAGTGCGCAGTGCGGGAAAGAGGCGCGGACGGAAGTGGTCAATAATAAAACAATGGGGGCGGGCCACGCGCGGACTCACCGCTCACCTCCTACTGTGCGGCCCGGGGACCCCTGCTCTAGAAGATGTTTCTAGTGCTGTCATTGGTGGACGTCCTTTCGGATAGCAGTGGTGTGAGCAAGCAATTACAAGGTGAACAATTATGAGTATGGTCAGTGAGTGTGACTGCGATCAGTGAGTGTGACTCCGGTGAGTGTAACCACAGTGTGACCTCTGTGAGTGTGACCTTAGTGTCACTGCAGTGAGCGCCAGACGAACGTTGCGAGTGTAGTGTGAACACAGTGGGACTCACCTGCTCAGGTCGATGATCGGAGGCTCTTGCTTGATAAGGAACACCAGCCGGTTAGGGGTCGTCACCAGTATGTCTGTGCACAAGCACACAAAGACAAAGGTTCCCCGTGTAGCCTTGAGCAGACGGTTGGAGCAAGTGCAGTTAGCAAACACCTACGAAGGCTGGCACAGCTGACAAGAGGGAGGGGTGCAGTCGGCACCACGCTTGGCCACCCTCTGTCTCCCCAGTGCCGATGTTCACACACCGCACCAGGTACTCGTTTAACACTCAGTAAACCTAGGGGAGGCCCAGGATCAGTGCAGATATCACTCGCTACTTAATAGGTGTTTGCTAATAGCAATTGCTGCAACAACCCGTGTAGGCAACAGGGCGACCTTTGTATTTGTACTTTTTGGTTTCTATATACGAGGTCTTGGGAGGATTCAGGGCAGACCCTCTTCACTCAAACAACATTGTGGGGCATAGAAGGGGCCTGATCGTGATTCTAGAGTCTCACGCATGCACGCACAGGAATCCGCCCACCCATTAGTTCTTACCAAACTTCTTGGCGGATTTGGGGCCAAACTTCTTGACGGCGACGGAAGTCTTGGTGATCATGTGGATGCGGAAGCCCAGACCGTCGGCGATCCTGCTCAGCTCGCGGTGCGTCTGCGTTGACACGGACGTCGGCGGAGGGAAGAGGGGGAGGGACACGGCCGCGGAACCGATCACCTCCGGCACGCGGAACCTTTCGACCCCCAGCCGCAAACCTCCCCCGCACAGTGGTCACAGGCAGCCACGAATGTACCACGAATGTGCGCCCGCAGCTCGCCAGAAGCCAAGCGAGCGTTGAGCCTGGTCAGAATCCCTGCTAAGCTCGTAAGGCCTAATGAGATCATGCGCCTTTAAGTTGATTCGGTCATCGGAAATATTATAACCATATGTGGCTCTTCTGTCTAGATAGATAGATAAGTAAATACAGTAGATTTCCAGCATTGGTGGGGGAGGGAAGGTGCCCATCCCATCGGCAGCGCCCTTGTAACGGCTTGCCACGTTACGGGGCTACGGACGTTGTCGTTATTGGCATTGGGGCAGCAGTGGAAATTCCACATCCCCGTGGCCGGGGCCAGTCCGCCCATGGCGGAGGCAAAGCAGGCGGGGGCACGTTCGCACCTGGGCCACGAGCTCGCGCGTCGGGGCCACGATGACGGCACGGAAAGCCGCAGTTGCGCGGCTGCTGCAGGTGGTGAAGTATGGGGATGCAGAACGCGGCCGTCTTCCCCGAGCCCGTGGGTGCGCATGCCAGGATCTCCCGCCGCTGTGGACGGGGACACACACACACACAGGAGGACAGGAGAGAGGGCGGGGGGGACAGGCAGACAGACATATAGTTTTACAGGTAGGCAAAGAGCTCTGCAGGGCAGGACAGGTAGATGAGATGGGTTTATATTACAGGCACACTGGTAAGCAAGCAGAGATACGGGTTTATAAGACAGATAGGCAATAAACAGAAAGACAGACATTCAAGCAGGCAGACAGGTTTACAGACAAACCAGCAGGCAGATAATTAGGCATGCAAACAGACAGGGTTACAGATATAGACGCATGCAGATGATCAGGCAGACATTTACATACGCACGTACACAGAGACAGGCAGACCTGTGCACAGCCAGGCAGACAAACGTGTGTACAGACAGGCAGACAGTGAGGTTTACAGAGGGTCAGACACTCAGATAGACGCACACGTTTAGAGAGAGGCCGACAGTCCTACAAGACGAAGGCGCCACGTTCTCCACCTGCATCATGAGCGGGATGGCCTGCCTCTGCACCGGCGTGGGCTGCAGGTACCCGGCCTCTAGCACGTTGCTCAGGATGCGCGGGTGGATCTCGTACTCGGAGCGCAGCTGCTCGAACGAGGCGAGCGGGGGCGGCACGTCTGTGCCGGACACGTGCACCTTGAACGAGTTGCGCAGGGCGTTGACCTGCGGGATCGGGGGGGGGAGGGGATCAGGGGGGAGTGGCAATAATGGTGATGATGGCAGGAGAATAATATAGGAAGGAACCTAGCCAGTGAATACAATTATACAATTACCACAATAGCTATTTGCATTCGTGATGTGCCCATAAAGTAACGAAGGTCTGAGCAGCCTGAGGTCGGGCAACCAACCTTTAACGGGCAGCAGAGTGGCTGAGATAAGAGCGAGCTAGCTGAAGGTACGAAGGTAAAGGCAAAATGTGCAGCCTTGCAATTTATTGCTCAGGCCACTGCTGGCAGCAGAGCCTAAGCTGGAGACAGTTTGCCAGAGCCCCTCGAGAGTGTGTCTTTGCCTCCAATTCCACAGCAGCTTTCCCAATACAACAGCTGGACAATTTGTATTTATACAGCATCAGTATGAAGGCAGCATGATTCGGATCTCCGCTGCTGCCACTGCCGCCACCTCCACGGATTTGGCGGCACGTGGAATCGGGCGGTGCGGTCACCTGGTCGCGCCGAATTCTCTCCGCCTTCTCAGCCGAGGGCTTCTTCTTCTTCTTCACTTTGTGCTTTAGCGGGAGCTTTCCAAGCGACGACATGAGCTGAATCCCCAGCTCCTCCTCGGGCTCTTCCTTCTCCGTGCAGATGGCCGCATCTGCCGGTGTCTCCACTGCTTGCTCCTCCTCTTCATCATCCTCTTCCACCACCTCCTCTACGTCCTCCTCCTCATGGTCTGTGTCAATGTCTGCTGGCAAGAGAGAGGTTGCGTTTTTTTCATCACCACCATACCCAACAGCCACTGCTTGGCTGAAGGCTTCCCCATGCCGTCGCCATCTGTCACGGTCTTGCAAAGCCACAATCGACCTGGAACCCTTTCAGATAGAGACGCACCACAGTGTGAAAAAAAATGGCTCCAGAAATTTACGTCACAGAACTTTCTTAATTGAGCGAGCAGAGTCGTGAGATGAATACATAGCCCTTGATAATGTGAAGTCACACCTTGTGCGTTCAATGAATATGTGCTGGCTTCCTGATTGCAGCCGACATTGTCTGGAATTCCCAACCCCTGGCCGTCAAAATTACTGCTTCAATTTCAAATAATGAAGCCTACCTATGATAATTGTTTTTTTACCCTTTTATCTGGCAACAAAACTGACACTTTTTTTTTAAAGGTGTCAGTTTTGTTGCCAGATAAAAGGGTAAAAAACCAATTAACATATTTTTTACTGGCAAATGAGGTACCAATGGTGAAGCCTACCTACTCGCCATATTTACACACCCCTACAGCCAACGGTAACCAGAGCACAACGCAGACAACACCGACGACAACATTGTCCTATGCAACAACAATGCCGCAGAACTGCACCGCACAACTTTCCAGCTTAATTCGCGGGAACTCGCTCACCGCATTCATCCGCATTGCCGCCGGCCGTGTCCTCAACTTCCCTCCCACTCTCCTCCCACTCTGCTTTCCCTTCTTCCCGTTCGACGGCCCCAAGCCTTCACCGCGTTTCCGTTTTTGTGCCGAGCCTGGCACCGCTGGTGCCGTGGTTCCGCTACCCCGGCCGGCGGGGGGTTTCTTCACCGAGGCGTCGCGGTTCGCCTGCTTGGGTTTCGATCCGAAGAAGTCGAGTGCACTCGCTGCCTCGACGGGAGACTTCTGGACATCGCTGTTTGGCTTCACCATCTGTTGGAAGGCGGCAGAGTGCGGGAGAATGATTTACGTTCATCCTGCGGACTAACCGTTGCAGCAATATTTATATAATTACTGGAACACTGAATCTTGCTTTATCATCAACGTTACACCTCATATCGCACCATTAACCCCCTCATCATCAAGAACTCCCTCATCATAATAAATTCCTAATCATTATTGCCAACACCACCTACCTCGTCATCACACGTTATAAATCCTTTATCATCATTCACTTATCAATGCCGTCATCACTAATTATGAAAATCATCACTCATCTAGATAGCTTCGTAACTGCCTCGCATATCACGCATACATCAATGACCATCACTTGAACATAACCTCCCTCCTCCACATTATCACCACTCATCATCGCATCATCACCACCTCCCTCGCCGTCATCACTTCCATAATGACTCCCTACCAATCAAACCCACATCATCATACTCACGTCATCAATCACATTATCACCATTCCCTCAACTTCACAATCATAAAAACCGCCAATCGCCACCAAGTGGCGTGACACCAGGCTAGGTGCACACCATCACCAATCTCAAAATCTCATCACCACTCTTTGATTTTTTTTTTACACAATAACCACCACTCCAAAATCACCATACCCACACATCACGCCCATATGATCACCTAGCCCACATCACCATTGCACCCACGTCAACATCACACCCATAGCATCACCATACCTCTAAATTACACGGGCTCAATCACCCACATCACATTCACATCATCATTACAGCCACATCTCCATCATCGCAGCCACATCACCATCACACCCTAATCGAAGACAAAGATCCCCCGTATAGCCTTTACAGAACTGTTGGGGCAAGTGCTGTTAGCGAACACCTATTAAGGCCGGCACAGCACACGAGGAGGTGGGTGGCCAGCACCACGCCCGACCGCCTTTGTCTCCCCCCCTGCCCGGCAACGCGATGTTTTTCCACACAGCACCAGCAACTCATTTGAAACCGAGTCGACCTAGGGAGGCCTAGGAGCGGTTCACGATAATCGTCACCACCCATCGCACCCACATCATCAACCCCCGTGTCCCCGTCACCTGGAATCTCTCCGCCTCGGCGCGGAATCTCTTGAAGTCGAAGCGCGTTCCCCCGCGTAGGCGCGCGAACAGAGACGCAGCGTCCATACTTCACCAGTCTGGTTCACCTCCCGGGTGCTGCTGCTCCTGCTGCTGCTACACGTGCGTTGCTGAGGGCGGGGCAACCTGGACCGGATGTGACCTCTCACCCCGGAAGTGAACCCCCTGACGTATGAACCGGATGTACACGGCACACGCTACGACGGGTGGTCCGGATGTCTTGTGACGCCCCAATTTAATTATCTAAAAACGTTTTGATTTAAAGCTTTCGTGACTGCCAGTGATTCATATTCTTGGTTATTTCGGTAAAGTCACGTAGAAGGGAAATAATAGAAGATTAAAAAATAAACAATAAAATTATCACGCGGAATCGAAGCGCTTTGTAATCGAAACGTCGTGAGAATTGATTTGTTATTTTTATTATTTTATTATTTCCCTTCTACGTGACTTTACCGAAAGAACCAAGCGTATGTATCTAAAACTTCATTATTATCATTTGTAAAGTCAGGTTTCTTTTAAATCAGAAATTAGCATGCAAAGGGGAAACAACTGTCAGGGGTCAATGAATTGTGGATCGATTGCTCGACTCGTGGGTCGATTGCTCTGGTCGTGGTGGATTGCACAGCTCCGAATCGATTGCTCTGCTTGGGATCAATTGCTCGACTCGGGGTCGATTGCTCTGGTCGGAGTCGATTACGCAGCTCGCGATCGATTGCTCTGGTCGGAGTCGATTACGCAGCTCGCGATCGATTGCTCTGGTCGGGGTCGATTGCACAGCTCGCGATCGATTGCTCTGGTCGGGGTCGATTGCACAGCTCGCGATCGATTGCTCGACTCGGGGGTCGATTGCACAGCTCGCGATCGATTGCTCTGGTCGGAGTCGATTACGCAGCGCGCGATCGATTGCTCGACTCGGGGTCGATTGCACAGCTCGCGATCGATTGCTCTGGTCGGGGTCGATTGCACAGCTCGCGATCGATTGCTCTGGTCGGGGTCGATTGCACAGCTTGGGATCGATTACTCTGGTCGGGGTCGATTGCACAGCTCGGGATCGATTGCACATCTCGCGATCGATTGCTCTGGTCGGGGTCGATTGCACAGCTCGCGATCGATTGCTCTGGTCGGGGTCGATTGCACAGCTCGCGATCGATTGCTCTGGTCGGGGTCGATTGCACAGCTCGGGATCGATTACTCTGGTCGGAGTCGATTGCACAGCTCGCGATCGATTGCTCTGGTCGGAGTCGATTGCACAGCTCGCGATCGATTGCTCTGGTCGGGATCGATTGCACAGCTCGCGATCGATTGCTCTGGTCCGGGCCCCTTCCCCCCTCTCCACCCCTCCCCCCGCTACTCTCGCCCCGCCCCCTCCACTACCCACGCCCCGCCCCCCCACTGCCCCCACTAGCCCCGCCCCCACTGCCCCCACTAGCCCCGCCCCCACTAGCCCCCCACTAGCCCCGCCCCCAACGAGCCCCGCCCCCACTGCCCCCACTAGCCCCGCCCCCACTGCCCCCACTAGCCCCGCCCCCCCACTGCCCCCACTAGGCCCGCCCCCAGTCTCGTGCCTGGGCCCACGTGATGAGTGACGTCACACGGGGGTGGCCGAGAGTCTATGTCAACACAAGCGGCGTTGTGAATCGCAGTCGAATAATCACAAATTACACGAATTACAACAACAACAATAGCAACGGTGGCTGTTGTTGTTGTTTGTTGGTGGTGTTGTTGTTGTTGAGGCTGTGCGGTTGTTGCGTGCCGCGGTAGTTGTTGGTTGCCGGCGTCGTAAGGGAGGTTATTGACGGCTCGGCTGGGCCCTGTGGCGGAGGAGCGAACAAGTCACGACGGGTGAGTTAACGATGATGATGCTGTTATCGCTTTTAATATAAATACCGTGTAACTATTAATTATACTGCTATTATACAATACTATAGATGTATAGATAGTGTAGGGTACAGCGTAGTAGCATTATCTATACTTCACTAAAACACACGCTAACTCAACAAGCCGGGTGAGTTCACGTTGCTGCTGCTGTTATCGCTTTTAATGTAACTACCGTGTAACTATATTAATTATACAACTATTATACAATAACATACAAGTATAGATAATGTAGGGTACAGCGTAGTTACATTATCTATACTTCACTAAAAACACGGGAACTCTACAACCCGGGTGAGTTCACGCTGATGATGATGCTGCTGTTATTGCTGTAATGTAACTACTGTGTAACTATTAATCATACAACTATTATACAATACTATAGAAGTATAGATAATGTAGGGTATAGCGTAGTTACATCATCTATACTTCACTAAAAACATGCTAACTCAACAACCCGGGTGAGTTCACGCTGATGCTGCTATTATCGCTATAACTACTGTGTAAGTATAATGCTCCAACTATTATACAATACAGTATAGATAACGTAGGCAATTGTATAGTTACAAATCTCTATACTTAACATAGCTAATACATAACTAACGCTGTCATAGTCCAGGCCCGGGGTGAGTCATGCTGCTGTTATCACTGTCATTATAACTTACTGTGTAAACTATACTCTGTGGTTATTTCGGTAAAGTCACTTAGGTAGAAATACAATCACTACTGTGTCACTATGTTCTTGGTTCTTTCGGTAAAGTCACGTAGAAGGGAAATAATAAAATAATAAATATATAAAACAATAAAAATTCTCTCGACGTTTCGACTGCAACACACGCAACCATCATCAGGTGTGAAAGCCACAGCAAGAAAATTTGAAAAAAATTGTTTTTTAAAATTTACAAATATAAAACAATACAAATTATCACGACGTTTCAACTGCAACACAAGCAATCATCATCAGGTGTGAAATCCACAGCAATAAATTAGAAAAAAGTAGTTTTTTCAAAATTTTTTGTCAAATTTCTTGCTGTGGATTTCACACCTGATGATGATTGCTTATGTTGCAGTCGAAACGTCGTGATAATTTGTATTGTTTTATGCTGCACAACATGACGAACATGTCACACAAATCATAAACAATATCTAACCTCATAATATACTGTTTATAACATAGCTTTTATATGATTAGCGTGTAATACGCAGCTTAGTACTGGCGGGGTTTGAGTCACTAGTAAAAACTACAATAACATCCAACTGCAGTACTATACAACGTACCAATATAACCGCGGGACAGCATAATACAGTACGCCATACCAGCTACCCTATACCCTACAGCAGGGGTCGGGAACCTTTTTGACTGGGAGAGCCATAAAAGCCAAATATTTCAAAATATATTTCATTGAGAGCCATATAGTATTTTTAACCTATAATAAATTAAATATGTCTTACTTTTAATGCGACTTCTGGTGCTGCATGGTTTTGCTGATGGCCTTGTAGTCTGGTTCATACGTGGTGAGGTTGAGCTTCGTGCAGGCGTGACCCGTGAAATCTTCAAAACTAATTTCTGTTTACTTTAAAATGACACAGTATTATTAAACAATATCACAAGTATTTTAAAATCAGTTCCAAACTGATTTTTTATTTTTTTATTATTATTATTTTTTCCAACTCAAAATTGTCTGGGAGCCATATGCCGTCACCGGAAGAGCCATATATGGCTCGCGAGCCATAGGTTCCCGACCGCTGCCCTACAGCTACCCTATACCCTATAGCTACCCTATCGTTTTTGGGCAGGCAGGGCACGTCGCTAGTATGGGATTTGCTGCGTCATTCATCACACGCTGATTGAAGCCCCCAATCAACCATTGCTCAATGGGAGGTTGCTCATTCTTTTCTACTACCCCCCCCACCAGAGTCTGGAATTGTTTTTCCTCCCCTGCCGTTTGTGTTGTCGGCTCCCTGCCCTTATTACAATCCACGCTCTAAAGACCTCCTACATCTTCTCTGCTGACAGGCTGACTGCCCCTTTATTAAATAAACATGCCCGGTATATCTGGTGCGGCGTCTTGAGATACAGTCGCTTCTTCTTGGTTCTTTCGGTAAAAGTCACGTACCGAAAGAACCAAGAAGATGAATCCCTGCAGTCACGAAAGCTTTAAATCGAAATTATACCGTCGCTTTTAAACGCGACGTAAAATCCGTATTTCTATTGCACAGGTTGCTATGTGAATCTGTGTCTGCGCTATGTGAATCCGTGGTTCGCTATGTGAATCTGCAGGTCACTATGTGAATATATGGGTCTCTGTGGATCCATGGATATTTTCTGTGGCCAATGGCTGAGTGCCTCTTTTTATAATTATGCCCACATTATGTACAACGTCTTGAGATACGGTCGCATTTAAAAGCTACACAAATTCGCATGGTATTTATTGGTTTATAAGTGGGTCCTGTGGGGCTCTTTGTATGTCTAGGGGTCTCTGGGTCTTTAGTTATTTTCTTCTGCCAATTACTGAGTGCCTCTCTTTATAAATAAAAATGATTATGCCCACTATGTGTTTATACAGCATCATCACAAGTGGTCCCATTTACACGCTGCAGGCATACCTCCTAAAATAGCGCTCAGGATGCGTTCTTGGTTAACGGAGCATTATGTAATCATACAGCGTTCTAAGCAGGAAACGCTACGGCTGTATATGAATTTGCATTGCGTTGTGTTTTATTTTTATTGTCATCGCAGCAACATCCACCACGGTCACCACAGGGTGCAAGGAGGTGAGGCTAGACGGTTGTCCGATGGCGGAGCAGCCGGGCTCCTTCACCATCGATGACGCCTTCGAGATCAGCCTGGAGGAGAAGGAATCCACCACGCCCAGGTTCGGGAGCCTCAAGTTTGAGAGGAAGGTGAACCTGAGCCGGACCAGCGGACAGGCGGCCGGGGCCGATGATGTCGGGCCCAGGGAATCGGGCCACAAGTACCGGGTACGTGGGCACAGGGGGGACAGAGTGAGTGAGTGAGGTAGGTAGTTGAGTGAGTGAGTGAATGAGAGATGGGGGATGTGCGGGTGGGGGGGGAATACATAGGTGGGTGAGTGAGTGAATGTGTGGGTTGTGGGTGAGTGAGTTGGTGAGTGAGTGGATAGGCGAGTGGGTGGGTGAGAGATTGAGTGGATGTGCGAGTGTGTGAATGTGGATGGTGGGTGAGTGGGTGGATTGGGGGGTGAGTGAGTAAGTGAGTGGGTAGGTGAGAGCTGGATACATGTGAGGCGGTGGATGAGTAAGTGACTGCATTGATGGATGAATGGGTGTGTGAGTGGTGAATAAGTGGGTGGCGAGGTCAGTGGGTGGGTGAGTGTATGCATTGGTTGGCGAGTCGGGGAGTGGTTGGGTCAGTGAGTAAACTTGCTAAATACTCTACAATATGGAATGCTAAATTACTGAGTGAGTGAATAAATGTATGGGCCAATGAATGGGGGCGTAGGGTTGGTTAGTGGGTGGGTGGTTGGGTCTGAGTAATTCTCTCAATACTGTAGAAAATCTAAAATGCTAAGTTAGTAGGTTAATGAAGTGAGTCAATAAGTGGGTGCGTGGGTGGCTGAGTGCATCTTTGGGTGGGTGTGAATAAGTGGGCGGGCAGGCAGGTGCTCGAATTGGCAGGTGGACTGTTGAATGAATGGCTGAGTAATTTTGTTAAATACTGTACAATCTTGACGGCTAATCTAGGGGTGGGGTATGCATTAAATTTATTCTTACATTTTAACCACCATGTTACTTTAAAGCCAAAGTACAAAAGTGCGTTTTTTTTATTAACAGCAAACTTAGTTTGTCACTAAGACAAATATCCACCTACGCAGACTGTTGAGGCCAATGCTGTTAGCAAGAACCTATTCAGGTCAGCGTGGCGCACTCATTGATCGTATGGCTGGGACCACACCCAGCTGCTTTGGCTCTCCGCTGCTGATGTTTACACGCCACATCTTAAATTAATTCTAAAGCCGAGTCAACTTCGAGGTGGGCCAAAACCAGCTCAATTATTCGTCAACGATGTTGGACGTGGCCAGGAATAAAACTCTGCTCGCCGGGTTGGTGGCACAGCCCACGAACTAGTCCGACACATCGGTATGGAGCTAGTGACACAGAAACGGAAGGAGGAAACTGATCGTGATGGATACTGGGTTGCTGGATGACCAGCAAGTGAGTCATACACTGTGACGTTGAAGGAAGTGGTAAGCAAAGTGCGTCGTAATTATGGTGATTGTTGTGCTGTGTAGGTGAGGTAAGTGTGACTGCGTCTGAGCAGGTGGTTGCAACAATGCCTTGGCCTCCCCCATCGAAGGAGCCGGAACTAAATTAGAGGCGAGCCCTCTTTTAGGCAAAAAGGGGGGGAGGTGGTACATTGATTGGTCAAGTAGTGGATGAGTGGCTTAAGCGATTTGGGCTGGGAGTGCAGGACAGGTGCGAAATGTGCGAGGCGGAGCAGGCGAGGGTAATTGGCATGCGATTGAGATGATAATTTGGCGGCCAGTTTATATTTTTTCTTAAGTGAGTGGTAGGAGCGGGAGAGGGCTTTTGTCACAAACGGTGCCACGGACAACCCTCACTCGTTTTGGTTTTACGGCCGGTTGCCCGTGCGCCCAAGCGGAACAGCCTCGCCTTTGCGGCGGCCGTTGCTCGGACTGCTATGGGCAACGCTCGCCCGCTCGTGGCTGCGTCCTGAAGCACCGGTTGACATTTATCAATGCGACCGACACGCATCTGTCTCGATAACCCCTCGTCTGGCTCGCAAGCGCAGCGTGTGCGTCGCAGTCGCCTGGCAGTTTAAGAGGTCGGAGCACTGAGGCCCGACACCGCTCTCAGATTCTTGGTTTCGATTCCAGGTTTTGGCTGCCTCTGATTAAAACCAGGTTAAAATTTCTACATATTTTATTTTACCAGGTAAGACCCACTGAGCTATACAGGTCTTTTTCAGAAGCGACCTGGCCACAAATGATAGCTCAACGAAGTGGCTTATTACGTGGACATTTTTTTTTCATAGCAGCCGAATACTCTAAACACACGTTTCTAAATGTGGAGGGGAAAACCGGAAGACCCGGAGAAAAATCCACGTGACTATGGGGAGAACATTTTTTAGGCGTCAGGGTCGGGGTCAAACCCACGACTTATGTACCAGGCGAGAAGGTTAACATCTCGCCACCGTGGCACCACAGATTCTCGAGTGATGTGAGCTTCTGGTTGTCTCAGCCCGGCCACCAATGGCTGCGCACCAAACAACAACATCTCATTAAATTAGATTCTGAGCTTAATTTGGCCAAATTATAGCTCTTGAGAAATATCGGTCTGACCGTCATGCAACGAATAAACCATGGCATTTAAACAAAATTAAATGTGTGGTCCTGCCCTCGGTCTTCCCTCAGTCTTTTAGTTACCTTTCCCCTCCCCCTTATCTCCCCCATTCAAGCTTCACACCCCCCCCCCCCTCTACGCGTTGGGGCAGCGAGTCCAACTCCCCCCCCCTCTACGTACAGTCTCGTCGCGCCGAATTCGACTTTTCGCGGAGTTTCTGTTCTTCAATATCGATCGGCGTACTGTACCGGGCTCGCGTTTTGTCGGCAATAAAAGAATAATGATCGTGCGATCCATTGCTTGACATTTAAATCGTCTGCCTAATCCGTGGTTTGTCTCTTAAACCCACAACCAGTTCCTTCCCCGAGGACAAAACCGGTTAAATGGCCTGTCCAGCCCCCCGGTGTTCTCTGTTTGAACTGGGTAAAGCCCCTGTTCGAGTCAACATAAAAGAGCCATACCGTTATTATAAAAAAACACTACATTTCTGGAATTGCCCAAACATTCAAATGCAGGATTTTCCTTAAATTTTTTAAACTATTTTTATTGTTATTATTAGCAACTTTGGAGTGTATTTTAATTGTATTTATCATGTGGCCTCTAATGCTGGTGATGAACCAGTGGCCTGCCCGTGTCCAGCGGTTTCTCATCTTGTGCTCGCGTGACGCTTACGTTTGTGCTGTCCTGAAATGTTTTCACTTTAGAACTTGGAAGATGATGAGGATGAGGTGAGGACTAACGGAGCGATGCCCGGTGACCTCCGCATACGGTAATTAACTTTCGTCCTCACGCAGGAGGCCTGTGGCATTAAAAGGGTGTTAATGGAATCGTGATGGATGCAGTTGGTGTCGTTATGAAGATGATAATAACAGGACAGGAATAAGACCCAGCGGTTTTTGCCAACGCCGTTTGTTGCATTGATTCGTGGTTTAAATTTGCCAGGCTGCCCTGGTTATGGGTGCCACTGTGACGAGATGTTAATTAACTCGTCGTGGGTTCGATTCCGACCCTGACGCCTGTTTATTTGGAGTGTGCATGTTCTCCCGATGGTTGCGCGGATTTTCCTCCACATTTAGAATCAATGTGCGTTTCGAGTAATTGGCTGCTATACATTTCCACATGACGATAAGCCACTTAGTTGAGCTATCATTTGTGGCCAGGTCGCTTCTGAAAAAATAGCTATATAGCTCAGTGGGCCTTACCTGGTAAAATAAAAAATAATTTGTTTCGTACGGCAACCAGGCCCGCCCTGTGGCGCCGATCGTCGTGGGCGGATTGCGAACCGGAAATGGGATGCTCGCGGCGTTGGTAAAGGCGTCCGTCCCCTTGTCGTTTGCCCGCAGGCCGCCCTCGCGGCAAGGCTCGGAGCTGTCGTTCAGTACGGTGAGCAACACGACGCAGCTCTCCTACCGCTCCTGCTTGAGGTGCGTGGCGTTCCCCTTGTTTTATTATTCCCGTTTAATAATTAGCTTCGTATTATCAAAGTTTTCCGAATAACCATCGCTTTGAGCGTCAAAGCTGGCAATGTTTTTTTAAAGACTTTTTAGATTTAAAGAGGGGTTTCTTATTCTAGATTTGAAGCTTTCGTGACTGCAAGGATTCATACTCTTAGGTTTTTTCGGTAAAATCACGTAGGTAAAAATAAATAAAACAAATAATAGAAATAATACCAGAAATAAAATAATAAATCACGACGTTAAAATCACGTCGTGATTTATTAGTTTATTTCTATTATTTCTATGATTTTTATTATTATTTATTTTTACCTACGTGACTTTACCGAAAAAACCTAAGAGTATGGGTGTCTTATTCTTGGCAAGGAGGTTGAGCTGATGAGTGCAGTAGTTAGCGCACTGCACTAAGAACCGAGTGACCCGAGTTCGATTCCCAGCCATGGCGAACATGAGTGGCCGCTTAATGTCTGAGACGGCCATCGTGCCCCCTCCCCCTCTTCACCAAACCACAGCTACCAGCATAGTGAAGTATGGTCAAACTACCTCCACCACGATGCAATATTTTGCTGTCTTTTCTTGGATTTTCTGTTTGCACATAGTCACTTTAAGATGTTTTCTTGTTCATGTTTTTGTTTTTTTGTTTGTTGCGGTTGCACTCGATTCAAGAGCCGAATGGCTCACAGGGCTCTATACCTAATAAATAAAAAAAAATGAAATGAAATGAAAACTGACACGATTGGGCCAAGAGGCCTCCCAATTGCAACGGATCAGCTATGCAGTTTAAAAAATAGAGAATAAATTACTTTAACAAGATGCCAGATTGGGACGATGCAGCGATTCTCTCTCGACGATGCAAGCCTGCGATCCAATTGGCTCGTGAGTCACGTTTCCATTGCTCAGGTTTCACTGTCATTTGCTCTTGCCGGTAAGGTGGCCATCGGAGCACAGTGGAGGACTGTCGCAGTCGCCCAGCCGTGCAATACACTACTCGAGCGACAGGGGGCAAACTCGCTCGTCAACATTTATTTCGTGTGAACTTAATTTGGAGCTTTCGTGACTGCAGGAATTACTCTTTGGTTCTTTCGGTAAAGTCGCGTGTAAAGATAAAATAATAAATTAAATACTAGCATACGACGTTTCGATTGCAACACAAGCAATTGTCATCAGGTATAAATGAAATCGAAACACAAATCTAGTATACTTAGAAATGTAATGTAATACAACAGAGAGTCGGATAACATAACAGTCAACACCCTACCTGGTTGATTACGTTCTTCCTGAGAATGCTAAATTTGAGAGAGAGATCAAACACAGAACCAGAGACATATATACAGACATATAAGCAGACAGATATCACAGAGATACATAGAGAGAGAACACTCTATTGATCCGATTGCTGGCCAGCCACAACTGTACACAAACAAGCTCTCCACACCATGGAGATGAGAATGCTCAGATGGAGCCTGGGACTGACTCGATGGGATCGTGTCATGAACGAAGACGTTCGGAAGCGACTTGGTGTGGCCCCCATTGCGGACAAGATGCTTGAGGCAAGGCTTCGGTGGTACGGCCATGTGATGCGAAGTGAAGAGTCATCAGTGGCCAAGACTGCCGTGCGTATTGAGCCAGAGGGCCGCCGTCCACGCGGACGTCCGAAGAAGCGATGGATGGATCGAATAAAGGAAGACATGAAGACGGTCAACGCATCCCCCGAAGATGCCCTGGACCGAGCCTAATGGAGAAGACAATGCCGAAAAGCGGACCCTGTGCCACAGTGGGAACAACGCTAGGAAGAAGACATAGAGAGAGAACAAACACATGTATTTCGTGTCCCTGCTTTAGTTCTTAAAGGAAGCCATGATAGGGAGGCAACTTGAGTTGATTTCTTTTTTTAGAGTCTTAAGGTTCGAGTCAAGTCGATTTGTTTGTTGGTTAACACGTGGCACCTTTTTGGCACAAAATACTGCCACCCAAAGCGCCATCGCATCATCTCCATACATATACAAGGCAAAGTTGTGATTGTGTGTTTGTTCAAAATGTTTAGCTACTTCCCGACATGCAACAAACTGGAAATTTCCCATGTGGGTACTTTCCAGACTGTGCACCATGCAAAAATTATAAAAAAATATACTTTTTATGGGGGGGTGGGGGGGGGGGAGCTCAATAATGCATTTATTTTTTTGCACGGTAATTGAGCTGTGACGTCACATCTGTCACGTGACCCGCGCATTGGGAAGCGTAACGCATTGTAGTGTAGCGGTTCGCGCGCTGCGCTACGAACCCGGCAACCCGAGTTCGATTCCCGATCACGGCCACCACCGGTGACGATTATTTCAACCGCTCCTGGGCCTCCCCTTGGTCGACTCAGCCTCAAACGAGTAACTGGTGTGGTGTATGAACATCGCCACTGGGGAGACAAAGGCGGCCGGGCGTGGTGGATCCAAGTCCCGGGCGAAGCCGGGTAGTACAGCTAGTTAAACATAAAAAGAAACAATTCTATGCAGTTTAAAAATATTTAATTTAAAGCAATCTGTGGCTGCGAGTTGTATGTAAGCGTGTCTACCACGCCAGTTCTCCTATGCCAATGGTCTAAGGTGGTGTAAGTTTCAAGTTTATTCTTGTTTAACCCAGTGAGAGAACTCGGGAGACCAGGATAAATCTCATTCGCAAGAGTGACCTGGAAAATGTGTCTGCTATCAATAGGGGGCGATGATTTCTGTCGTGTGCAATCCTAATTGAGTCATTTTTTGTGGCGTAATTTTTGGCTAAATCGGCTGCACGATGGCCCTACTCCTGTGAGTGGCATCAGGGGATCTTTAATATCCGCAGTGCAGCAGACCGCGCGTAGCGCTATGATGGTTATGTTGATGGGGGCGACAGCTGGACTCGAACCGTGAACCTCTACATTAAGTGACGAAAGCGCGGCCATGAGAGGCCACGTCACTGGTCGTGTCGCCGAGTAATGCAGGTGAAGTTATAAACCTTGGTCGAGTTTTTGCGTTAAGCCACTAAGTTGCGCTATCATTTATGGCCGGGTCATTTCTGAAAAAAGAGCTACATAGCTCAGTGGGCCTTACCTGGTAAAAAAAAAGTTAACAGTTTATTATGTTGCTTTTGTGCAGTCATTGGTGAACAGGCTGAGCCCATAATCTCGCCGCTACACACTTGAGTAGCTGCTCTTAATTACCGCTGGACAACAACCCAGATTTGAACCTGGCACTTCGACAATACTGGCTCCGTGCCCTCGATGCTAGATTCACCCCCTGGGCGAATCATAGCCATTTGCCATAGGAATAAATCTACGGCGGCACAAAGCGTGTCAACGCCAGGGAATTTAACGTAACTAAACCTGGCGAGGGGCCGCGCTGCTAAAATGAGATAATCTAGAGCAGCGGTCCCCAACCTTTTTGGCACCAGGGACCGGTTTCGTGGAAGACAATTTTTTCACGGACCTGGGGGGGGTCATCATTGGGTCTTTCCTCCTTTTCAAAGAAGCTCTCCAGCGACGTTTGTTTTTTACTCATTGTGGCTACTAGGGGTTAGCAGCTTGTGGACTCGCCAAACCTGTGACTGAGACAAGTGCGCAGTGCGGGAAAGAGGCACGGACGGAAGTGGTAAATAATAAAACAATGGGGGCGGACCACGCACAGACTCACCACTCACCTCCTGCTGTGCGGCCCGGTTCCTAACAGGCCACGGACCGGTAGCGGTCCGCTGCCTGGAGGTTGGGGACCCCTAATCTATAGTATTGACAAAATGCGTTGAGTTTTTAATCTATAACGTGCGTGCTTACTTACGTAGCGTGCCTATCCCAAGCGCTGTGTGAGGTCTTCCCCCACCCAACATGTTGCGCCAATCGGGAGGCTCGATTGAACATGCTTCACCCACGCTGGTCAGAGTTGCCGGGCTGGCGAAAGGCAGGGTTGTTGTAGACGTGGCAGCGTAGAGGTGCAGTACAACAATGGGTTGTGCTGCACTGCTCTCTTCCGCCCACCACGTAGTGCCGTGGCAGAAGCCTCTAGCGACCTGTTGTGTACGGTCGGTCGCCCGTCCGAACACTGTCCAGGCTCAACTTTCATTCTTACCTCCTCCCCCTCTCCTTTCCCGTGTATCGATAGTAAAATTTTAATGTGCAATTTTATTGAAGGAGAGTGTGTTGTCCTGGTGTGGTCTGAGACTGTTTTTGAAGTTTTCGGCCTTTCCCAAGCTTGGGAATTGGTATACTTATCCAATTTCATCTTTTCTACTTTATCTATTTTATGTATTTATTTTTAGTGATTTGCTTACCTTTCCTATACTTTGTGCCCCAATTGTTTCTTGCATTGTTTGTTGTTGTAACTCTCTGACCCACCCCGACTGGGCATCTGCGAAAAAGAGTGTCATAGCTCATTGGATTTTTTCAGGATAAATAAAAATTCTGATTCTCATTTAACCCCGCTTCGTTTCTGAGAGCGGATGGTTTCTCCTTCGTGCCTCCAGAGTGAGATCCATGTACGGTGTAAAGTCATCTCGAGTTGCGACCCCTCACTTCGTGGTTTCTGTTTAAACCCCTCCCTCCATTCCCTAATTTGAGATTTCCCTTCTTTTGCACTCTGCTTAGCAAACTCTGCGCGAGCTGGTGTTATATTTCTGTGTCGCCCGCTGCCACTGTTACTCGAATGGTGAATGGCTTGAACGTTAATATCATGCAATGTGTTTGCTCCTCAACGTCTGCAATGTTATGATTTGCGCGCTGCTGTAATTTCCTTTCGTTAACCAAGGTTCTCCAGATTATTTCTGGTCAAACGACTTAAGGCCGAATGTTTCTTATCCGCGTCAACAAATTTTATCAATCATTTTGGCAAGAGACATGGTGCGGAGTGAAGCGGTTAAAACTGCAGGCTGTTGTGAACCATCTGTTTGCCATTGATTCTCTGTTTAGCCAGGTGAGAACTCGAGAGAGGCCAGGATGAAGTCTCATTTGCAAGAGCGACCTGGGGTATTAGTCAGTGAGTAGGGGGGCGACGATTGCTACGTGTAGCCCCGATTGAGCAATCTGCTGGTAATTATTAGAACGTGGTCAATTTGGCGTGTTAGAAACCTGCCGGGGGAAGCTATGAGTAGGCGGGGGGGGGGGGAGTCTCGAGGAGGAAGATGAGTTTTAGGCGGCGGTGATAATGGGGAACGGAGACCAGATTTGCTTGGCTGATTACGATTGCTCAAGTTGATGGTCTCACCCTGTTCACCAATGACTGCCTAGAAGTATGGAACACTTGCTCTATCACTTAATTCGACTTATTCCAGCTCTTAAACGTAAACATCTTGGTGTTGCGGGTATGGGGTGGCCACGTGCGTGCACAGGACAAGACTAAATATTGAGGCCGCTTGCTGGCGAGAAAATCAACGTTGGGTTTTCTCCCGATCGAGGCCGTCTTGAGCTACGGCGCTGCTCTTTGCGAGCCGGCTGGCCTGCGCACTTGCACTGACGTCCTCTGTTGTCACTCTCACAGTTGGACGAGGCATCCGCTCATCCTGAAGAATCGCAAGGTGGTTATCGCCTCCTTCGTCTTCCTCATCGTGGGCATCGGTGAGTCACGCTACCCGGTGACTTCCCTAACGCGAAGGGGGGTGGGGGGTGGAGGGTGTCAGGAGTAACCGCACGCCTCGCCGCGGGAGTTGCGACTGGCTTTGCCGTCCGGTGACACGTCACGGCGATGGCTCGGTCTACTGAACATCTGTGAAAAATAGCTTCGTAGCTCATCGGATTCCTTCAGTTTCAATAAATATTTTGATTCTGATTGAAAGTTAATGCCAGTTGCGACAATCGGCACTTTGGCGCCGCCTGTCATGGATGCCGCGCCACTTAGCGGCGCGTTCGCAGAGTCGTCTGTTTCTCTCGCCTCACAAGTGACGCAGCACCCTCACGCTCGCTCCGCGCGTGCAGGCGAAACAGCCCCAGCGCGTGTCCTTACGAATTACGGGAAGTGCTGTTGGCTTGCGTCTACTCAACACCGGCACCGCTTACTTGCGCCAACACGAATGGCAAACGTCCACTTATGTGTACAGAATCATCAGAATCTTTATTTATACTGCAGGAGGAATCCGATGAGCTATGAAGCTCTTTGTCCAGTAGAGGCACGGGGTCAGAACGTTACAGCAACAAATGATGCAAAAACACAAATGGAGTGCAAAGTATAGGAAAGGTAAGTAGATCACTTTAAAAAAATCATACAAATAAAACGAAACTATTTTTCATCTTACTAGGTAAAGCTCACTGAGCTGTTAGCTTTTTTTATCACACGCGACCCAGCCACAAATGATAGCTCAACGAAGTGGCTTATCATGTGGAAATGTATATCTACCAAATCAGAATCCGAATATTAATTTACACTAGAGCAATCCAACGAGCTATGAAGATGTCCAGTCGGGGCGGGTCAGAACGTTCCGCTGCCCCCGCCAACCGCACGCAAAGTTTCCGCCCGGCCGAATTTTTCCCAATTCCCAGATGCAGCTTCGTCCATTCGACATTTCACCTCATCCATATTTGCATTTCCGACCGTCGCGTATCCACCCTCACCGATTACACAACTACGGCCCAGTGCAGTGTTTGTTCCTGGTGTGCTTTCCGGAAGATTTCTCCACGTACAGCAATGCATTCTTAATTTTCCGCGCACGTACCCCGGCTGGCCAGGAAAAGGCGATGCGGCAATTGGTCTAATCTCCATATGTTTCTATCTGTACGGGGATAGAGCATTGCCCCGCAAGGGGGCGAGACACTGATTAATGATTATGAATAATATTGGTTGCGAAAGCCTACATATCAAACTGACACTCATCTTAATATAACAAAGAATAAAACAATGTAGCAGGACCCTCGTGAAAAAGGGACCTCGGACTCGGTGGGTCTCTTGCTGGATAAATAAGTTAGGACTATTATTAATAAATATATATCCAACCTGTTCACTTCTCCGCTCTACACCTCAGTCCCCAGCGAGTCGGATACGTGACGTTGCACCATCGAGTCGCATGTATGGCCGCGGTTAGTTCGCTGACTGTTGGGCAGCCACACCTTGGTTTGGCTCTGTTGAACAGTGGACGCACCGCGGAAGAATCTCTTCGGGATCCTAAGCGTCTTATTTAATCTCTGTAGCCTTCGAGGGGTAGTCTGACCAATGCACAACAACCCCGAGTTCACGAACAAGAAGTCAAAAATAAGTTATTTCATCCCGGTGCTCGAGAAACATCTCCACAAACACCTCCGTTGACCTGCGCTTGCATTTTGTGTGCGTTTCTGTTTACTTGCTGTAGGCCTACAATGTTGCGTTACTCGTGTGTGTGTGTGGGGAGTGGTAGTATTAAACGGTTTGCGCACTGCCCTTTAAACCCGGCAGCCCGAGTTTGATTCCTGCTCACGGCCAACACCAGTGACGATTATCTAAACCGGTCCTTGGCCTCTCCGAGGTCGAACGAGCCTTAAATGATTACCTGGTGCGGTGTTTAAACATCGCCCCTGGGGTGACATAAAGTTGGCCGGTGGTGGTGTTCGCTACACCCTTTCGATCGCTATGCTACCCTTCATAGGTGCACGCTAATAGCAATTTTCCCAACAGCGTGTTGAAGGCTATTTGTGGGCTATTTGTGCATGTTTAAGTGTGTTTCTGACTGTCAACCGTTGCAAGTTTACTCTATTGAAGTTGCTCCTTTGATCCTTACAGCCTTGATCATCACAGGAATAGCCTTGGAGGTGAACCCCAATGCAGGTACCCTTATTCATATCAATAACATTTGATGTGCCTTTGTTGTCAATCCACTGCTGGACGAAGGCTTCCCCGTGCCCCGTGCCACCGCATCGGGGGGAGGGGGGGGGGGCTTGACCATATTTCGGCACGCTGGTTGGAGAAGTAGGGGATGAGCTGTACTCTTTAAGCCAGTGTTCTTCACACATTTTCAGAGGGAGCACACTTTCGCCGATGAGACGCCAGTATGAGGTTCCGCCATTCTTGTTTGATGGCACGACGATGGGGGTGTATTATCAGGGGGGGGGGGCTGCACGTCAAGGGGCCCACACTGAAGGCCACAAGGGCCCACCAGTGGGCCCCCCCGCGGGCTTTGCAATGAAGAATAGCGCTTTAAGCATTGCCTAATTGTTTCGTGCTAAAACAAAACAACGCTCGCATCCTCCAAAGCAACATAACCTCGCACGCAAAGAATGTCGGCTGCCATTGAACCAGCGGCGGCGGCGGCGGCTACGGATCGCTTTCAGCCTCGAGTGACATTTCTCCAGAACGCCGCTCTTGCAATAGTCACCCCCCTCGTGGGTTTGTCAGACCCCGCGTGGGAATGTGTCTCTCATTGACGGAAGCACGCGGTGTGTGGTTTTTTTCTCTCTTGCAACGGAGGCTGTCGTTGGGCTCCATCCTCGAGACGCGCAATTTTAATTACATCTGAAGCTGGGAACAAAACAGCCGGCTCGTAAAAACAAACAAAAAAGTGGGGGACCGCTGCCTCTGTCGTGGCATCATTTATTCATTCAAATTTCAACCGTACGTATGTATGGTGCGAAAGAAGTGCAACACACATGTACAAGTGGATCGGAGAAGATACATAGGGAAGTGGCGGGTATCATGTGACTGCGAGTTGTATATGACCCGTGGGTTACAACGTCATAGGTTTCCCACCACTCCTACTGTGTACTCCTCCGGGGCAACACCTCACTTTGCCAAGTGTTGTTGTGGCGCCACGGTGGCGAGACGTCAACTACCTCACCTGGTATACAGGAGGGGTCATGGGTTCGATCCCTACCCTGACACCTATATATTTGGAGTTTTCATGTTTTCACCGTGATCGCGTGGATTTTTCTTCGGGTCCCTCCGTCTTTCCACATTTAGAAACATGCCTCCAGAGTATTTGGCTGCTGTAAATTTCCACGTAATAAGCCACTTCGTTGAGCTTTCATTTATGGCCAGGTCGCTTCCAGAAAAAGAGCTGTACAGCTCGGTGGGCCTTGCCTGGTAAAATACAAAAACATGGTTTAGTTTCTCACGCCCGTTCCTCCTCTTCGTTTTTCGGTGACAGACTCCGCGCGTCACGGTCTGCGGCCGTGGTTTACGCCAAGGGGTTCGTGCCAGACACTCGGAGCGAGGCACAGCTGGGGATTACTGCCGGCTCGAGCGTGAAATTCCTCGCAGTGGCTGCGGCGGCAGTGGCAGCACTTTACCTCCGAGATTACGTCGCTGCGGCGCGCACGTTTTAATGCCCGCCTCGGCGGTTTTAAGTGTTGCCAGAAATAGGGGTGGATTTCACTCTTGCTTAGCGACGTTCAAGCTGCAGTCAACCGAGCATATCCAGTCTAATGCGCGAGCCCTTATTGTCTCGTAAAAAAGAGCCCCGGTGAAAAACTGCTGTCCGCTTTCTGGGCCGTCTGATGAATGGGTAGCGCCGGTGCTTGCGTTGCGAAAAAAAAAATCGCTGGGCTCCCGCAGCAATGGAACGGGGACCCCTCTTGCCCCCCTTTCACACCCTCGGCACGTGTGTGTGTGTGTGCGTCTCTCTCCTGAGAGCCACCGTGCCCTGTTTGTGGGCAAGTGTGCACGATGCCAAGCAGCGGCGCGTTTGCAGCATCGCCAGTGCGTTGAAAGTATTGGGTTCGTGCGTGTACGTTGACGTTTGTTAACCTCTGGTTTTGTGCTTTGCAGTGGTGTCGAGCGCGATCTTTTTCGTGCCTGGATTCCTGCTGTTTATTCCGGGAGGTGAGTGGCGACGTTTCCAGCTGCGTTCGCTGCACGTCGCGCTGCCCCCGTGGTGTTTGCGCGTCGGTTTAGGGCGAGGGTTGTTTTACATAAACGGCAACAGCATTCGCGATGTTTCGATTTGAAGCTTCTTTCGTGACTGCAGGGATTCATCTTCTTGGTTCTTTCGGTAAAGTCACGTAGAAGGGAAGTAATAAAATAATAAAAATAAAACATAATTAAATTTCGATTTGAAGCTTCTTTCGTGACTGCAGGGATTCATCTTCTTGGTTCTTTCGGTAAAGTCACGTAGAAGGGAAGTAATAAAATAATAAAAATAAAACATAATTAAATTTCGATTTGAAGCTTCTTTCGTGACTGCAGGGATTCATCTTCTTGGTTCTTTCGGTAAAGTCACGTAGAAGGGAAGTAATAAAATAATAAAAATAAAACATAATTAAATTTCGATTTGAAGCTTCCTTCGTGACTGCAGGGATTCATCTTCTTGGTTCTTTCGGTAAAGTCACGTAGAAGGGAAGTAATAAAATAATAAAAATAAAACATAATTAAATTTCGATTTGAAGCTTCTTTCGTGACTGCAGGGATTCATCTTCTTGGTTCTTTCGGTAAAGTCACGTAGAAGGGAAGTAATAAAATAATAAAAATAAAACATAATTAAATTTCGATTTGAAGCTTCTTTCGTGACTGCAGGGATTCATCTTCTTGGTTCTTTCGGTAAAGTCACGTAGAAGGGAAATAATACAATTAAATAAATCATTGGAGCGCTGTCTTTCCGACAGCTCTGTTTCTTCACCTGAGGACATCTGCTTGTGTTGTGGCCGAAACGTCGTGAGAATTTAATTATGTTTTATTTTTATTATTTTATTATTTCCCTTCTACTTGACTTTACCGAAAGAACCAAGGAAGAGCATTCCCGATGTTTGCAGTGAAGTGTCTTGTGGATGTGATTTTTTTTTTATCTCTCCCCCCCCCACCCACCACCCGTTCCAACACCACAGTCTATCACGTAATCTTCATCGTCTGCGCCGTCAAGGGGAAGAAGGGTTTCCGATTCTTCAACCTACCCTATTTCGAAAAGTGACTGCAGACTTATTTAAAAATAATAACGCTAATCAGCCATCCGATGCCAAATACTGTACGCTCAATGGCAGCGAGCCATGTGTTGAAATTATGTATCGACTATATTCATAATTCGCGGAGAAAAGTTCCAATGGGAGCTTCACGACTGTTCTCCGTTGACGAAATACGGAAAATGCATTTTTTGTTGTTGTTGTAGAGGTCTCTCTGTCTGTAATAGAGGTTTTTTTTGTAGCTTTTAAATATTTCTCGGAATAAAATGTGAACAATTTTGTCTTTAGAACGAATTACGATTGACACGCAAAACTGGGCGGCTGCAGGGGGCCGCCTCTTAAAACAACGCATATCCCGGGGGGGAAAATACGGTGAAGAAAAACAACGCGGAAAATCAAATCAGCCATTACGCATTCGCTCAATGTTATCCGCACTACGATCCTTCTCCGCTTAACACTCCGTATAATAAACTGGTCGTGGGACCCGAGCTACTCGTGAAAACACAATAGTTACGTTTACATTATCGGCCATGAACAACGTTCGCCGTATCGGAACGATCGGCGTCGTTGCTTTGGATCGCGAAGTGAATTAGGTTTTTATTAGCGCTCGCATTTGGCCATCTGTCGAACGATTTGGGTTAATGGCACGTCTTGCGTTTAGCGATAGCCGGTGACGCGGAATGTGTCCCGTGCTGTAGCAGAAGTTGCGTTAAAATGCACGCTTTGGTTTTTTCTCGCCCGCTCTGCGTGAAACATTACCGTAAATCGCCGAAGGAAACGCCCCGGCTTCAATTTGAGTCTTTTTACTTGCAATCGATGCAGGCCTGTACCTGTGCGTGCTATGTATGTATTTAAAATGGAGCGACTATGGATCGTGAAAAAGGAGACGTTATGATGGCTAACTGACGCGTCTTAGCTCAACTGCCCGAGGTGTACTTGCACGAGACAATACGAAATGTTTTGGTTTGCCGCCCCCTGAAGTCCCCTTCAAAAGCATCAGCAATCTGAGAGCAATTTCACCTCTTGAAGAGGGTCAGTTATTTTTTCCGTCCAAAGATAGTTCACGTGACAGCTGACATTGGTCGTACGCTCTTCACATTTGTGCACATTGCATCTGCGAGCACGGCCGTAATCATTTCATTGTGTATACACGACGTAGGAAACGGGGGAACGCAGTTGCATGGTTAATGAATCCCACTCAAAAGCCGAAGCGAAACGGACTCGAACTAACTAACCACGAGGCTGGTGCAACGTGGGTGCCATGTGCCTTAGAGACTGCATTACCGTCAGCCATTCTCAGTCAACTGTTGACTGAAGGCATGCTGATGCCAGTTGTGTCCTGCAAGCTATACTCACATTTCTCCGTCCAAGTTCAATTGTTTTTCTTAATGGCAGTTGCGACGATGGTGTCTCGGATTTTTTGTTCGATGTCCGTTGTGCGTGTTTGTTATTATTTATCCCATTTTGGTCTGAGTTCTTCAACTTATTTTCCGGCAGACCGCAATAAAATAAGCGTCTTCTGGCGGGCTACGTGACGTAAGTTATGATATTACAATGGGGTTGTGACGTCTCGATGCCTGTACGTATAACCACTCGTGGATTGCACCACCTTGATTACTCTTCTCATCTTACATCTTATCTCGCGAGTCGACATTTTCACGAGGACTATTGCTCAACGGGGAAACTCTTGAGAGCCCTTTGAGGGCCACATCTGACTGAAGGAACCCCAGTTCAGGAGCCCTGCTCTAGACGTCACGGGTTACGGTGTCCCAAGGCCTCACTAATTGATTTGTATTCTTTATCGCAAAAAATGTTTTGTTCGCGAGTTTAGTTTTACTGGAGGACAAAAAATTCGACACGTAGTTTGAAGTAGTTTTTTCTGTGCACGATACTTTATCGTTTGAGTAGGTGTCCAGGGCGACTTTAGCGAGTGAACTCGAGAAACCTACTGCTGTTTGCTCAAGTAATTGTACTTTTTCAGTGACGGCACCAGTTATCGTGCCGTCACCACCACCACCACCACGCCCCGGCATGGCCGTACACGTCTGGCAAATCAGGTGTGGCATGAACGCGCCCCTCGTGCCAATTGTGTGGGCGAACGCGGTGATTGTGATGAAAGTCTATCAAACGCAACTGTTACACCCGGTAGACATGAACAGTCGGGAGCGTGGTGGCTGCGGCGGCCGTGGTGGCCACAGGAACACCCATTTTATTTTATGAACATTCCAAACTTGGTACAAGTATTCCCTCGTTATTCACAAACTTGATATCCGCGAATCGCATCTACAGCTCTCCATGGCTGCACAAAGAAAGTGAGACGAGATAAAGTTACGTGAGAGAGAGAGAGCTGATTTGCGTTTTTATTTAAGCGAATTATTCTGCAAAGTCTGCTCTCGCGAATAACGAGGGAATCCTGCATTTCATTGCGTTACGATGAAGGCACTGTTGTCGTTTTAAACTGCACGAGAGGACATGTTGAATGCGAGAACCCAATTCTCCCCGTTGACTCGCAGTAAGACGATACCTTCCGCAGTACAGTGGTCCTCTGGTTAACGATATTAATTGGTTCCATGAAAACTATCGTTCATCGAATATAGGAAGTACATGTTAAAGACTAATTTGTTCCAAGACGATCGGAAGTTAAACCTATTCATCCTATGAACATAGTTTATAATATCGATTTAAAGCTTTCGTGACTAACTATCTTGGTTCTTTCGGTAAAGTCACGTAGAAGGGAAATAATAAAATAAAAATATTTTAGTGTTTTATTTTTTAATTTTATTATTTCCCTTCTACGTGACTTTACCGAAAGAACCAAGAAGATAGTTTATAATATTTAAGCACGCAATTTTAATAAATACACGTTAGACGAACATTAAGGCGTTAACTCTAATAGAAACATGGATTAACGAATAAATGGAGCATAAAATAATTACCTTAGGCTCTCAAAACGCTCAAAAGTGCGTCGCTGATTGGCTGAGTTCTGCCGAGGAGCGCTGCCGATTGGCCGAAATTGGCGGGTCTGCGTGATGTCGTAAACGTATCGTTCATCGAAAATGTATCGCTAATAGAATCAATGGGACCCCATGGGAGGGCGGATCGTTCGTCGAAATAACGTTCATCAATGGCATCGTAAACCGCAGGGGACCACTGCACTGGTTTTGGGAAAGTCACAGGATGCTAAAGGTGCGATCAATGTTCTCCAGACGCCTTTGGAAGACGTGGCACTGGGCTACAAAACAATTGCGCCGTTTGTAAAAAAAAAATACAGGGTGCTTCAAGAAATGTTAACACTTATATGGGATTATCGTTTTATTGGAAAAAGAACGATTACTACACTGTAACACGATAACAAATCTATGTTAATAGCTTCAAAAAGTCAGTCCCCATCGTTGTCAACACGTGGCCTGGAATCTTCTCCAGGTGGTCTCCAAAGCGCGAAGGCACATTTCCTGTGGTATTGTTGCAAATTCTCGGAAGTGTTAACATTTTTTTGAAGCACCCTGTCTATAGTTTGTGTGCACTTCATTTAACAACGCATTGAGTGTGCCTCTGCTCGTTTTCTGCCACAGTGATTTTTGCGAGTGGGGAGAGAAAGAAAAACAATTATGGTAAAAATCCCAAACAACCTGAATCCATAACGGCTTCAGTCACGAGTTGAGAAAGAGTGGTGCTGAGCATTGTGTTTTGCGGCATTTCGTTTCAATCAAACTGCAGGGAAGTGGCACATTTACGGAATAGGCAATTGCGTAATGGCCCATACAGCGTTACATTGCTTCGGCTAATTCCACAGGCGATCAGACTTGCAGTGTCTGTATCAGAAGGCAGTGGTCCCCCCTTTCCCCCCCCCCTTCCCCCCGTCGTTTTATCAGAAAGCTCACAAAGTGCCTTGTGTTTGGCACGTTGCGGTAATAATGTCAAATCCATGTCACCGCTCTCGGATGTTTGCCCAGAGTAACTGCAAATGCGCAGGGGGTGGTGGTGTGCGTATGTGAATAATAATAAACTGCGACTTTGTTTTGATTTCACAGCAATGTATGAAGGGGATTCGTGTTGATGTTACTAGAATACTTCAGTTGTAACAGAGTTGCTAAGCGCATCAATAAACTACCTTTTCGGTTTTTTTAATAGATGTTTGCGTTCGTTTTTGTACAGTGCTTCCCTTTGAAGAGAAACGTGTTTAAAACGAGTCACATTGTATAGAAGGGAGCAAGATTTATATTTTAAAATTAAAATTAGGTTCGTGCGCGTACATTTTCTTTTTTTTTTACCGAATTACAATTTTAAACTCTGTTTCCAGATCGTTTTTTTCCATTATCTTTATAAAGGCAAATCAAGTTTATAAAGGCAGTCACGCACGTTCCATTTTTTTCCTAATCTTAATGGTTATACGAATCTGCCTGGCGCTATTCACATGACAAGAGTGAAGTCGGTCCTGTTTGTGGAGGCGGTCCCATCACGAGAGAGCCACATTCAAGGGAAATAAATGATTGCAGCAGATCTGGAAGAAAAGAACAAAAATACAGAACGAATATCAATGCACGCGACTTTTTAAATTATATTGATCGAATCCAAGAGTTGCATTGGAGAGAGTGGCGGTCAAGCATGATATGAAGGCAACGACTTGGAGTGGACGGGGTGATGATGACATACGACGTACAGTGAGTAGAGATAACCAGGAATGCAGATCTCTATAGGGGCGCCACGGTGGTGAGATGTTAACAACCTCGCCAGGTATACAAGGAGGCCGTGGGTTCAATCCCGACCCTGACGCCTGTATATTTGGAGACTGCATGTTCCCTCTCTCTCCGTGATCACGTGAATCAACATATGTTTCAAGTATTTGGCTGCTATAAATGTTTACATGACAAGCCACTTAATTGGGCTATCATTTGTGGGCAGGTCGCTTCTGAAAAAGAGCTGTATAGTTCAGTGAGCCTTATCTGGTCAAATAAGAAAAATTATAAAAAATAGTCAACAGTGGGACATGCCAGAAAGAATAGAAATTCATAAACTTACACAAACTTTACATACCAGTACGTGTACACTTATACAGATGTCCTCGACTTACAAAGCGACCCCATGGGGACGTCCATAAATGACGTCACGCACCTAGGGGGGGGGGGAGGGGGTCAGACATTTGTGACGATGTGGGACGAGGGGAGGAGGGTTTGAGAAATGTGACGTCACATGCGCAACTTTAAATATAAACACGTTCTACTTAAATAGAATTGTTATAACAACACTAATTTTGATTACTTTTCATTAACTATTTGATTATTTAAATTTACTAAGGTCACCTTTTATGTATTCCATGAAAGAGCATGTTGCTTCTCCATGGGAGAATGGAGAAGCAAACATTTTGAAATATTTTTGAATGATTGTTATTCAACATTTTTATTTTAATGATTCTACCAGGGCTTTTAATTCTGTGGCATTAATATGTGATTGTTATAATTGTACTCTCTATTTTGCATCGTTCTAACTACAAAGTTTCAAGTAGTTTTTTATAGTTAGAATTACTATTAATATTTAATAATTATAAGAGAATTTCAATATATTCTGAACACCTGCAGTTTTAGTTAGACGTTGAATATTTTCAAGTGAATTTCATGCTAAATTTCAGCTTTCTAACGCCACCATTTTTAATACGTGTGTAGTGGGTACAGACTTGTAGGAGACTTCCTCTTGGAGGCAGCACGTCTATTAACAGTAAACGCAATCACAGTTGATAATTGTTTTTTTACCCTTCTATCTGGCAACAAAACTGACACCTTTTTACAAGGAGTCATGTTTGCATAGACCGCAATACCTGCAGTCATAATACAAACAAAAGACATAACTCTGATAATGTGCACTGTCCTTGAAGTTGATTGGTCCACACCTGAGACCAGATGACGCCAAAAGGCCTTTTGGCGTCATCTGGTCCAACCCATGTGAGACTAGGCTCTAAGGAAAGCTGTCTCGGGTGTGGACCAATCAACTTCAAGGACAGTGCACATTATCAGAGTTATGTCTTTTGTTTGTATTATGACTGCAGGTATTGCGGTCTATGCAAACATGACTCCTTGTAAAAAGGTGTCAGTTGTGTTACCAGATAGAAGGGTATAAAACCAATTATCATATTTTTACTGGCAAATGAGGTTCCCATCGTGCAATCACAGTTGTCCCTGACACAAAGGGGTACGGCCCCTTCCACCCGATATGCAGGCTAGCGTGTCCTATTCAACTCGGGACTACACTCCTCCGCTATCGGGACCTAGAGGAGGCTATTCTGACCCGACCTTGCCAGGGTCTCAGGATCTCTCACCCCTGGCCCACTCGAACCTGGCTCTGACAAGAGCCTCGGTTGAGTGGTCCCAGGGCTCGAGGCTTGAGATGCCTTCAGTTCCTCGAGTGGACGACAACTGCCGGTCCCGTAGAGAGGGAACCGGCTTTTATACCCCGAGTCGGGGTCCACTCCTCCGGTCACGAGATACCCGGGGGGGGTGGACCTTGGCTTAACTGCCATTCAACCTACTAAGCCTCCCATCCGCCCCCTATGGGCGTAGTAGCAGGCTAACGTTCACGTAGCGCTTTAATAATGACGTAACACATGGTTTCTCCTACAACATCCGAGTGCAGCGCCACGTTAAATACGCGCTACAATGACAATAAATTTAGATTTTAAGCTTTCGTGACTGCAGGGATTCATATTCTTGGTTCTTTCGGTAAAGTCACGTAGAATGGAAATAATAAAATAATAAAATATAAAGCAATTTAAATTCTCGAGACGTTTCGACTGCAACTGTGATTTCACATATTTTTATTATTTTATTATTTCCCTTCTACGTGACTTTACCGAAAGAACCAAGAATACAATGACAATAGTTGAAAGTGATTTGAAGCATGTTTAATTTTCAAAATGGAAATATGGTTTTTGGGGGGAGGGGGGACAGAGCTTTTTGATGTCATATTTGAGGGGGGTTTGACTTTTTGTGACGCCGCGTGACGAGGGGGGGAGAGGGGGTCAAAAATCGTCCAAAATCGCGTGACGTCATTTATGGACGCCCCCCCCCCCCCCATGGGACGTATATAGAAACCCATAAAGGTAATGAACATGGAAGCACCAGGGTGGTTCTATGTCGTTCAACCAGGACTGGAGACGGATGGCCCAGGACAGGTATGAGTGGAGAAAGGTGACCCCGGGAGGTCGAGCTCACGTGAGCGGTACAAAAAAAATAAAAATTCTAGAACGAAGTTGAAAAAGTTGTAGTAACAACAACAAAAAAGCGGTTTGAATTGCGATTATCCAAAGAAAAAAAAAGTATCTTAATGCTGAGCACATAAGATTACACAGCAGGAGACTTTTAGGATAAGATGACCCTGGAATTTCCCTGTATGGCCACGTGCGCGCGCGTGGGCGTTTGCTGATCAGCTGTTCGCCGATTGCACAATTCCATTGGCTAGTCGCCTGTCACCTTAGCCAAGTGGGGGGCTGCATTGGGCGTTTTTTTCCATACAGTTCTTGCAGTTCATGTAGCTGGTTGGTGGTGGGGTGGAGGAGGAGATGGGGCCACGCCAAACATTGTGAAGACCCCACCCGTTGCTAGGCATATCCGAATAAAAAAAAAGTATAAAATTACATTTTTTGCTTTGTTTGGTTTTTGAAGAGAAACCAGTTCTACATGACAGCGTTTAGCCATTCAGTTGCTTTGTCTGAGAGTTTATGATTTTGTAGATACGCATGCCTTCAAAATTATATGTTGGGCTGTTCCAGTAAACATTAAACGTTGGTCCAATGGTGCGAAGTTACGTGGTCCATTGTTTGGTGTTCTTAGCTGCAGTCACAAGCAGGAGAGTGTTCTTTTTCCACTTCATCATTCGATAGAAAACATATAATATGCAATTAAGTGTAGAACACTACATATTTGATAGTCTAAACCAGTATACATGAGGGCCAATCTTGATTTGAAGCTATCGTGACTGCAGGAATCCATACTCTTTGGTTCTTTCGGTGAAGTCACGTAGGTAGAACAATAATATATTACGACGTTTCGATCGCAACACAAGCGTCCATCATCAGGTGGGACAGCCACAGCAAGAAAAAACTGCTGAAGTCGGTTTTTAAGCTAAGGGGCCGTCCATAAATGACGTCACGTGATTTTGGACGATTTTTACCCCCCCCCCCCATCGTCACACGGCGTCACAAAAAGTCAGACCCCCCCCTCAAATTTGACGTCACAAAGCTCTGCCCCCCCCTTCACAAAATAAAATATGCTTCAAATCGCTTTAAACTATTGTCATTGTCGTGCGTATTTAATGTGCCGCTGCATTCTGATGTAGGAGAAAATATTTCTTGAAAAGTCTAATTAAGTGGAACGTGTTGTCTATATTTATTTAAAGTTGCGCATTTTTGATGTGAAGTCACATTTTTCAAACCCCCCCCCCTCGTCACACATCGTCACAAATATGTGACCCCCCCCCCCCCCTAGGTGCGTGACATCATTTATGGACGGCCCCTAAACTGGTTTTCCATCAAGAGAGATTAAAACCAGTTTCATCTCGAAGCAGGCCTGTGCTTGAAGGAACATTTAATAAACTCGCTGCTATAGCTATGACCTGGCCCAAGCATCCAAAATCCTGCAATCCCCTGGCTGACATTTCAACGCTGCATATGAAAGCTGTGGAACGCCGAGTTCCATGAGCTAACTTAGCTTGCAGTTATATTTTAAGCTTGGCCAGCACACGTGTATATATATTTACTTTCTCACCAATTTATTGGAATTCTCGCTGGCTGGTGAGCGGCATTAGCCTACAAAAAAAAAGTCAGAGATTTAGAGGGAAAACCTACCGCTGTGATCTCACATCACCGAGAAACCCCCCCTCTCCTCTCCTCCGAGACGCTCAAGAACCACCCCCTCGGTCAAGCATCCACGATTTGGATGGAATGGGAGGAGAATTCTCGATTGTATCGTGGGGAGGGTGGGGAAGATGTGTGTGGCCAGGAATTGTTAATCGATGCAGTCTACGAAAGCTCGACTCCCCCCTCGTGAAGTCCACGCATGTTTTAATTTCGCGAGCTGACAATTGCGAGTTGCAAATTTTGTTGACAAATAGCCAGATTGATTTAATAGCATACTAGTTTTTGAAAAATGCGTTTATTGTGTTCATGATAGTTTAATTATCAATTGGAATTCATGTCGACCGGTGTTAATATGATCAATGAGTATGTTCGTGATTTTCATAACCAGATGGGATCCCAATGAGACAAACATACCATTTTTTGAAATATATGGATATATTTGAAATGTATGTATTGGGATTGTTTTTGTAAACATGTTTTTTTTAATTTTATGTAACATTTACCGTGGGGCTGTAGCAACACTTGCACCTCACAGCTAAAACTGTTCTCTAAATACCGGTAATAGAAAATAATTAATACAGTATTACCGAAACAGTATTTTTTATTATTATATTTTAATGCAGCTACAAGATATAAAAACTTCATTAGACTAGGACAATCTTTTGAGATTTCCAGTTCCTTTTCATTGGGGTCCTGGAAGAATTGCACTAATCCTCAGGTTGTACAGACTATTGACAAATAATTTGTCATGAAAGATAATATAATATATATTTTTCTATTGCATTACTGGCAATGACCCAAGCCAGATAAATATCGTAGAAGAGCTTGTGCGTATCATTTCTGAACTGCAAAAAATCATAACCAACTCTTTTATGGGTACATTTTGAACTTAACGTTCAAATATATTAACGTTGGATTTAATTGAACGTGAATCAGTGGGGCAGATATAACTACAAAGAAGACTCTTTTTGGTTAATATTACAATTTCTAAATTACCATACAATAGATATTACATTGTTACTTGCCGAACAAGTTCGCAGTTTGTGCCGTGGCACTGTCTAAGGAAAACAAATTCCTGCGGAGGGAGCTGGTAGGAACGTTGGGTTGCTCGGTCAATGGCCAGGGCCAACGGCGGCGTGGTGTATTCCGCAAATATGCCCGATTGTGAGGGCGGGCACAAGCCGACGTGAGTAGGTTAAACGTTGAGTTTTATAAGGGCACCATGGGATGACCAGTAACCCTCCCCACCCAGGCCCACCCCTCCCACCCCCACCCAGCCCCTCCCCACCCAGCCCCTCTCCACCCAGCCCCACCCCTCCCACCCCCCACCCAGCCCCACCCTCCCCACCCTCTGTTTGCGCATAGTCACTTTAAGATGTTTTCTTGTTCATGTTTTAGTTTGTTGCGGTTGCACCCGATTCAAGAGCCGAATGGCTCACATGGCTCTACCAAATCAATGAAACTGAAAGAAAAAAACCAACCCTCCGATTATCACGGTTGGCCACGTACGGCGCGAAAGAAGTCCAACACACATTCATGGCTGAGTCTCAACCGCAGCTGTCCGGGGCTGATGAATCTGATTGCTTCTAAAAAAAACCACACACAGAAACGCTGGTGGTTATCTCATAATCCTGCCCCCCCCCCCATACCTCCACAACCCCGCGACAAACTGTGACGCAACGCGTCGTCACCCCGCCCCCCTTCATCACATCCACTGGGTGGGTTCGAGAGAGGGCGTGCGTTGCAGCGGTGGCGCTGGAGAGTGCACGGAGAGACAGAGACAGAGGAGAGAGCACGGAGAGAGAGAGAGAGAGGAGAGAGAGCAGCACAACAAAGAGAGAGAGGCGGGGAGAGTGGAGCACACACACACAGAGCTACTACACACGCAGCGAGAGAGAGGGAGAGACGCACACGCACACAGCGAAGAGACGTGATGCTGTAGACACAGTCGCCTGACCGGTGACCTGGAGAGACGCTCTTCGCCGAGAGGATTCGAAGACGGGAAGGGAGACGGAGAGCGAGCAGGGGAGAAAGAACAGCAAGGAGAGAGTTAGAGGGAGGTGAGCGGCTGTGGCTGGAAGAAGAGGAGGACGGATGAGGGAGGGAGGGAGGGAGGCTGGATGCGTGAAGAAAACAAATATGGCTTCGTGAGCAAGGCAGTAACTGTGGCAAGACGCGACCCGGCTCACAGTGGAAGAGAACTCGAGAATCGCGGTTTTGATTTTAATTGAAGGAGACAAACGTCTGCAAGGAATCCATCACCACCACCACCACCCCCATCATCATCATCGCCGTCACCATTCGGGATGCAATCAAAGGCAGCCTCCAGTTCTCGCCGTTGCCTTTCCATCGCGATGTACCGAGTATAGAAAATATACGGAATGCTATGAAGCGTTGGTGTATTATTTATTGTTTTATAAAAGCATAGGTGAAATATTGAAGACATCGCTTTTGAAGGTTGCCCCCCCCCCCCCGGGTGCGGGCCTCAGCCTTCGTTCTCGCCTAGAAGCCCCCGCCGCCTTCGGCTTCGCGTTCCCCGCAGACGCTGCCGACCCCGGCAGTCAAGACACCGCGGAGTCGGACCCGACTTCTTCTCGCCGTAGGCTTTATCAGGCCGGCGACGTCTTTTTTTTGCAATCGTCTCCGCAGTCGCAGGCTCAGTCTCTCTCGAGCGGTTGTCTTTGTCGTAGTTACGACGAAGATAGAGAGAGAAAGAGAGAGACGAGAACGTACGCCGGGCTTACCACCGCCCCTTGCCTGAGCACCCTGCGGGCCAGTGCGCGCCTCTGTCGGAGGCGGCGTCAGGCTGCAAGGGGGTCGGGGTGGACGGGTCAGGCCTCTACTGCCTTCGCTAATCGCCATGTTGCGAGACATCTATTAATGTTATAGTAAAGCCGTCAATATATACGGTCTCTATAACGCTAACATCGCTAGCTGATAGGTGTCCGTCTTCATTATCTCGACGCTACACTGCCCAAGCAAAAACGTCTAAATGCGATAGCAACGAACGGAGGAGCTTAGCTGGGGTTGAGTTCCGTGTGCGGTCAAGACGTCGTCGTTTTCAACTCGATCTTCTAATCAACAGGAGCAGTAGGACTGCCGCATTCTTAATTTATTGATGTATAAGCGAAGCCGAGCGGCATGGTTGCGTAAAGTTTGCGAGGGACTTCTGTCCGTCGTGGTGGTGGCGGCGTCGGTGGAAATCGCGAGCGCGGATTCCTCGCGACTCGAGACCATCGCGATGACGGAGCAGACGTACTCGTGGTAAGCAAAGAGACGCGGCTAACATCTTCTTATGATTCCTCCTCTTCTTCTTCTTCGTCGTCGTCGTCGGTACCATTGGCATGACACTACTCATCGTGAGCAGCAAAGCACAATCGCCGTGCGCTTATGACCGTAAACATCTTCATCGGCAACATCGTAATGATTGTCATCAAGCAGCGTCTTCATCAGTTGCTCGTGACCATTAGTATCATCAGCAGCAGCAATATCGGCAATCATTCATTACTCAGAAGGAACATCACCATCGATATGACCACCACCATCATCATCGGCAGCAGCATCAGCACAATCGCCGTGCTTATGACCATAAACATCTTCATCGGCAACATCATAATGATTGTCATCAAGCAGCAGCAGCATCTTCATCAGTTGCTCGTGACCATTAGTATCATCATCAGCAGCGGAAATCGTCATCGGCAATCATTCATTACTCAGAAGGAACATCACCATAGATATGGCCACCACCCTCATCATCATCGGCAGCAGCACAGTCGCCGTGTGCTTATGACCGTAAACATCTTCATCGGCAACATCGTAATGATTGTCATCAAGCAGCAGCAGCATCTTCATCAGCTGCTCGTGACCATTAGTATCATCATCAGCAACAATAGCGGCAATCGTCATCGGCAATCATTCATTACTCAGAAGGAACATCATCATAGATATGACCACCACCATCATCATCGGCAGCATCAGCACAATCGCCGCGCTTATGACCAAAACTACCTTCATCATCATCATCAGCAACAATCATCAGCAACATCGATCGTAATTATGGTGATCAGGCAGCAGCAACAGCAGCAGCAAATTCGTCAACTGCTCGTGACCATCACCATCATCAGCAGGAGCACTAGCGGCACTCAGAAGTAACATCACCAGAGCTATGACCACCACCATCATCATCAGCAGCAGCAGTTTCATCTTCACCGTGGCCATGGCCTATGACCGTCATCACCGTCAGCATGAGTAACAATGTCGCCACCACCACCATCATCGTTAAACATCAGCAACACGACGATATTTAACAACAGAATCGGATAAGCATCGTGTCACACTCATCGTCATCATCATCATCATTAACCACCGTTCTATTCCGTAGCAGTGACATCAGCTCGATCATAATAATCATCATTACCACCGCTATGAAAATGATCATCGTCATCACCATTATTACTGCCCGTGTACACTTGTTACATCTGATTTCATTGCGTCGATAGTGTAATCAGTGGTGGATTGCCAAATACCAGTGGGACGTATGTTACACGACTGTTTCACGATGGTATATTTTGCACCCTTCCGTCAAGCCACTGCTGGATGTGTGACCATACAGCAACAGGACTTTCAATGTGCTGGGTCCGTGCGAGTTGGGTTGCATGGTCGGTTCATATTTTATTTTTCCGCTGTTGTATTTGTAATGCTAACCGTGGCTTGGAATACAACTCGGGTCACCGGGTTCATACTTCACTGCGCAGCATGCAAACTCTACGTTGTTTTAAGCGAGGTATGATATCTGTGATATCGATTTTCCAAGGCTGTTTTTGCTCCAATTAACAGCCTTTACGCGTCTCTGCAGTAGCCGTAAAAGCAATTTTGTAAGCACCGGTTACAGTAATGTATTTGAATTAAAATGACTAGGGCCCATTCGCGGTTGTATAGGAATGGTTGTATCCATCTCTTGGAATCTATGAAGTTGAGCATGTCTTCGATAAATTTGGTTTCTCTTCTGACTCTCCATTTGCATCCCACGTGCATAAAAAAATCGATTAGGGAACAGAGGACGGTTGCATACAGCAACTTGAGGTGCAATACATTCCACTAGTTTCCTATCTAAGCCACAGCAAAAAAGGCACAAACCCATTTAAATCAGCCACAGATATGCCAGCAGGCCCCTCTTAAAATTGAGTCTTTGGACTCATGAACTATTAAACGGATAAATGTAGGATTGCTGTACACGTTATTATTGTTCATAATAGGGATTTTTGGGTTAGATTGTGTAAATATACATGTGTCGTTGAACCTGCAACCACCCGACAGACAATTATTAAAGGTTTGTCACTGAAACAAAACATGCAGTTAGTTATTAGTTCAGCACACCGGTGTGTTGGAAAGTAAACCCACAACATTGACAATTCGAGTACGACGTTTCACCGCTAATTACAGCCAGCCCCATCAGGCGACAGCCAGACAAATTCTCCTATTTAGTGTTGAATACTTTTTTCTCGTCGTTTTTGCAAGACGTTTAGCCAGCATGGAAGACTAGGCCAAAGTACCTTCCTCTAGAAGTCTCTGTTAAACTCCCACCAGTGGACGCCCTCCTGGCAGCAGTGGGCATGAGTCATATACAATGCAAGGCTGCACCTTTTAATTGTTCTACCTTCAGTAAGAAGTGCCTCGGGTTGTAAGTTGTTTTGCTAGAACTGCCCTGTAGCTGCAATCCGTGGGCCGTGGTCCTGCATTGCCATTGCCTGTTTGTGCAGTTTGTAATGCCAGGTGTCAAACCCGTGATGATAATGGATCTTTGTTCCAATGGTGACGGACCAAATGTTACGTATTTATAAATTATCCGTATGTAAAATGTACAAGTTATAAGGTGCCGCATGTAATGCGCGTTTGACGGCGGAGAGAGCATTTTGCATGAGAGCTATTAAATAGCAATGATGCCATCCATGGTTAAATAAGGATGCCACTAAACTGATAACATTATGCAATTATCTAATGACCCTTTACCTTGAGGGGTCACGACTTTTCACTGGGCTCTTTAACTGATTATCAGTATATAAAATAACAATAAAATATAAGCTATTCTGTATGTAATGTAATCATAATGTCAAGCCGTTTGGCAATCCACTTCTGAATGAAGGCCTCCCCAAGTCATGTTTGTAATCGGGATTGTTTGACCATACTTCACCAAGACGGTGAGAATGGGTTGGTGTAGGGAGAGTGGGTGCCAGGAAATTGTTTAAATATGGCTTGCCATTGATATTAGCCCGAGCTGGGGATCAGACTCCTGGAGTCAAATTCAAGCAAAGGACAAAACTGATATAAACACATGGGTTACATGACACTTTCCAACGTGCAATTTGTCTTCCGAAGCGTTTAATTCACAGGATGAAAACTGATGTGTACCGGTCAGGGCAAATAAGCAATATTGGCTCAGGTTTCTGTCTCCCAATTTTTTGAGTAACCCTTTGACCAACTTGGCCGATTTTCACCAGAGCAAATCTCTAATAGCAACACAACGTGAAACACACGTTTTGTTCACAACATATCATTATGAAGGAGAGTTCTATCGACCTCATGTTACAGACAGGCGGACGGACAGAGCTAATGCATTAATTTTCTCGGCCTGGGTGGGAAAGCATTAAATTACGCTTGACTGTGTTTTGATTGGAGTTATATTTCTTGACTTTGCCAAGTCATGACACAACCAACCGAAACTATTGGGGTTTACATGTCAAAAAAGGGTTCTTTTTAAAAATGTGAAAAGTAATACTCTCATTACTTTTCCTGAAGATCATGGAACGCAGCACATACATCATCGTGAATCAGCACAGTTTTCATTTTGTTGTTCATTAATTCGGTGATCCATTTTGCGAAGTTGTGCCATTGATATTGTGCAAATGGGTGCCGTGTTTTAATTGTTTTGTTTGAGGCGTTTTGCGGGGGCGGAGGAGTGTTCGTGGGGCAGAGGGGGGGGGGTTGTCATTTGTGTGAACAATGCAGTAATAGTAATCTTAAGTTCTCCATCTGGCAGTTGAATTGTGCTATCATGGCAACTGCCGACGTTCCATTCAATTGCTTGCCCTGTATTTGACCACGTGAGGTTCCCATTGTTCAGTCTTTTGTTACGCCTCACCTGAGCATGGCTGGCTTGCAATGCAGGTGTTCAACTGGTGCTCTATCATTTATTCATCTTCTGCTGTGACACTGACAAGCATTGAGCTGCCCTTGTGAAGAATGATCACAGGCTCCCTATCGTGCAAGCTCGTGCACACTTTACAGTGCTCATTACCAAATTACCTTGACGTTTCCAGTAATCCAACTGTGGACTTTGGTACAAGTTGGCCCATTTTTGAGGTGTGCGTGCACACTTCTGATCTAGGCTGCCCGACTTGTGGAGAAGCAACTACTCTCGATTGTCAATGGTGTGTGTAGCGGATAGCATAAGATTTTTAGGCATCTCCCCCCCCCCACCTTGTTATCTGTTCCAATGATCGTGATTTGCATGCCATGTACAACAATTTACACCATGTAATTTAGTTGCCCACCCAACCCTTGTATTTACTTTATTGTATTTTCATCTGGTTGCTTGTCTTACCGTCTTTGATTTTTTAATTATCCCAAGTGTGAGGTTCAAGGTTTTTTGCTTTGTTTACTACCATTGAGAACTCGATAGAACAGGATAGCTTTGTTTGCAAGAGTGACGGGGGCGGGGGGCATCAGCCTGTCTGTAAGGGAGCGGTGATTGTTGTCCAATTTTCTGGTGTAATTTTGGAATTTGGCAAATTTGGACCCTGACGCCGGTACACGATGGCCTCCTCTTCTTATCGTCCGCTGGGTAAGTAGGCGGCGCACATTATAAAGATTATTCTATTAACACTCGCAGTGATATTCAGCGCGGCCTTTGGATTCGAACCGTCAACTTCTATGGCGAGCGTGCTACCACTTGGCCATGTCACGCGTTAGATTGTGTGCCGAGCATATTTTCACCGAAGCTTTTGGCATGCACTCCTGTGAGCATCTTCAGGAAGACCACACTGGTATTACAAGTGTCTGCGACAAAGCCTGCATGCTAAATTGACTCTCACTTACCCGTCCTAAATTCCATTTGCCATAAAACGGCATTCTCAGGGTTTTGGGTGGTTTGTGGAACCAATGGAACCAAATTGAGCCGCATGTATCAATATTTATAATAATACGGCTCAATTTAAGGGGAGTGGTGGCACAGTGGTTAGCACACCACACTGTAATACCTGCGACCC